ATTGCCCAACCTTCCTTCCGAGGAGTGGCTGGTGAGTTTAAACCTCCAGCCTTCTGGTTAGCAGTCAAGTGCCTTAGGCACTATGCTACCAGAGCTCCCAGACTACTGTGGTAGGTAGATTTTAAGATCCAGGAGTGTGAGACCTCCTACTTTGTTCTTCTTCAGTAATGCTTTGCTTATCCAAGGTCTCTTTCCTTTCCATATAAAGTTACTGATTGGCTTTTCCATATCCTTAAAGAATGTTGATGGGATCTGGATTGTGATTGCATTGAATGTATAGATTGCTTTGGGTAGAACTGACATTTTCACAATGTTCAATCTTCCTATCCATGAACATGGTATGTTTTTCCATTTGTATAGAACTCATGGTTTCTTGACATAGTCTTTTATAGTTTTCTTTGTAGAGGTCTTTTGTGTCCCTGGTAAGATTTGTTCCCAAGTATTTTATTCTTTTGGTAGCTAATGTAAATGGGGGAGATCTGGTGGCATAGTGCCTAAGGCACTTGACTGCTAACCAGAAGGCTGGCAGTTCAAACCCACCAACCACTCCTTGGAAGGAAGGCTGAGCAATCTAGTTCTGTCATGATACTGCCACAGCCATGACCTCTCATTGGAGGCTTGTGTGTTGCTGTGATGCTGAACAGGTTCCAATGGAGCTTCCAGACTAGGCTCACGCCTGGTGATCTACTTCCAAAATTCGGCCAACAAAAACCATTTGATCATAACAGTCTGATCCTATGCACAATGGGATCAGGATCACCATGAGTTGAGGGCCAACTCAATAGCAGTTAACATCAACAACCCCTATGGATAGTGAGGGGTTGAGGCAAAAGTAGGCTTCACCTGAATGTGCCAGTTTGCTGAGAGACTATGCCACCCAGCATCATGTAATACATGCCTGTTAAGTGTGCAGAGAGATTCTGAACCTTTGAGATACACTTTGCTGACAGCCGTGATCCTGAGCCCAGAACAGCAGGGGCTGCAGGACCAAAAGAAGGCCCGTGCATGGTCCACATCACCCCAGCTCACATCTGTGAAGCAGCAAAGAACATCACACCAACAGCCATTTGCTTCCCTTTGACTGTTTATTTTATTGCTGTTTAGTCAGAGGCTCTTCCCCAAGCATCTTTCAACCTCCATCATGGCTCTTTCCAGAAAGCTGAAACTGTACCCTGCTTCTTGCCATCTTCACAATACCTCCTGCCCTCTTACATGAAATTTCTCAAAATACAGACTGAAACAGGAACTTGGCTGAGTTTCACAACACGGAAGTGTATTCTAGATCTACGTTTACAGTAAGTGGGGGTGGAGAAGAGCGAAGAGCCCACAGGGGTATGTTCACACACAGGGTAGTCACACTGGGTGGGCAAGCAAGCTGGGAAGGTGTCTGAGTCCCAGGGGTTTTGAAACACTAGAAATTACTAACTTATCAATAAAGTCAGAAGAGCTTTATATAGAAAAAAATATAGAAAAACACATTTTTTCCACATGAGGCGCTCACTTCCCTTTAAGATAGACTAAGAACAACCTACATTAGCCAAACTCACACACATGACAAACTCTAAATCTCCAGATCCCTGTTACCGACCCATTACTGTTGCGTCTATTCTGACTCCTAGTGACCCTATAGGACAGAGTAGAACTGCACCATAGGGTTTCCAAGGCTGTAGTCTTTATGGAAGCAGACTGCCACATCTTTCTTCCACAGAGTGGTTGGGTTTGAACCACTGACCTTTCAGTTAGCAGCCAACCGCTTAACCACTGTACCACCAGGGCTCCTGAAATCTCCAGATAGACACCCTCAAGTAGGCACTTGGTGTCTCCAGCTCTGGGGCTGGAGAGAGCTGGGGCTTTGGCCCAAAGGGAAGGGACACTGACCCCACTGGGAGGACAACAGTTTTTGAGGGCTTTTGGGGCCTGACCTGTCAGGTGGTGCTGACCCAGCTAGATGGGAAGGGGGCCAGTTTAAAGACAACTCCCCTCCCATTTCACTGAGACGTGACTTGGGCACTGTGCATTCCTGACTAGAGCGGCTGGCATTTCTAAAGAGCTCACCAGTGACAGGGGCAAATGCTGGCCATTTCAGTGTGGGCATCGCACATTAGGAACTGACCAGCTCAAGGAGGGCAGGGGCCAGCTCTGATTTGCTAACACAGCATATCCTCAGAGCCCAGCGCTGTGCCTGGCACTTAGTAGGCATAGAACAAATATTTGTTGAATGATGGAATGAAAGAATCCAAAATGAAAATCTTGTTCTTCCAAAATTACAAATGGATACCCTTTGCACTCATTATAAATTGATTCTTTTTCAACCTGCAAAGTGGAATTATGACTCACTCATTTTCTTAACTTCAACTGGTGCTATAGGAACTTTTTAAAAGTCAAAACTGAGTCTTTTCATTTTGTGCCGGGGAATTGATTTGGTTATGTCCCAAAGAGAAGGTCTTCAACAAATGGGTTGGTGAATTTTAGTGGGATAATCCATCTCTAAGGTCAGCAGTTGGCCCAGAACTGACTGTTCAGGCTGGAGGCCTAAGCCAGAGTCCTTGTGTGTTGGGTCTGTTGTCTGGGGAAGATGGGCAGGTCATCATTTATATCCTGGGGGAAGGTCTGAGCCTGGCAGGTGGTGAAGCTGGATATGGCTGACCCCAGGGCATGTGTATGCACTGAACTCTTGGGCCACAAGGATGCTGGTCTGGGGAGAAGCCCTCATGCATCTGAGAGAGCCTGTGTCCATGAGGAAGATGAGGCATAAGTAGCATCTCTCAAATGGAGAAGCCTGCTCAGATAACATCTGTTTGCAGGGAAGGTTCTAAACTAAGTTATTGGACCCTCAGGGAGTGGAGGGGGCTAGCCAACAGTGTCCACACTGCAGAGAGAAAGCCAGGAGGGTTTGAGAGAGGCTGGTAAGGAATGAATAACTGGGGACAGCCACCTGGAAGCCCCAAGGGAGGTGAATTTGAAATGATGACAATGATGAAATTTTAAACAATGATGATGATGAAATGATGATAGCAGCTCAAGGTATGTCTGGGGTCCCATGTGTTCTACCTTGAACTTCAGGGCAAGGCTACTGGAAGAACTGATGATCCCAGACCTCCTTCCCTTCTCCCCTTATTCAGTTTTGGGCCAGACCCTGAGGATTTTTTTTGGGAATGGATTGGGTACATGGCTTTATGCTTTGTTTTTCATGTCAGGGCTATGCAGACACTGGCCAGATGCCCAACTACTTTTCAGAGTTGAGGTTCACTGTAAGTGGCTTCAGTGGATGCTGAGACCCTTCTCAGGGAGGGCAAGGCACAGATGCTCCAAATCCTACCCCATTTCCTGAAGGTCTCCCCATGGGGCAGTGCAGCCCATGTCAGACAGGTGAAGGTTCTGGGGGAGGGGTGCAAGGGGTCTGGAGAGCGTGGGGAAGAGGAACGCGCCAATGGCTCCTGCAGGTCAGGGCACCATGTGCCACCACTTGAAGGCGAAGGGCTTCCGGTGGACATTGGTACCGCAGTGGACCTCTCCCAGAAACTTGTGGTAGGCGGAAATGTCATCGACGAAGGTGCAGCAGAAGCCCAGGGGTTCCAGCAGGGAGCACACATGCGTCTCCAGGCAGCACACATCTTCGACCTGGGGCCCAAATGGCTTGGGGATGCCCAGGTCCTTGTTGAGCACAATCATGTTCACCTGTGACAGGAGATTGTGACAACAGCTCCTGCTGAGTGAATGCCTACTACATGCCTGAAACTTCTCTAAGGTCATTGAACCCTCACAACAACCCTATGAAGCAGGGACTATTGTTGTCCTCACTTTATAGATGAGAAGACTGAGGCACAGAGGGGCTACGTAACTCATACATGGAGAACTGAAGTGGAAAACCAGGCAACCTGCCTCTGCACAGAAGAGTGTGCATTATACACAGTTATATACATGTGTGCATTATGCTCACGCATATATCTGCACATGGCTATGTGCAGTATGTACATGAGCATGTCTGCATCTATGTGCATTCACATGTGTATATATATGGATCTTATGTATAGAGACATATATATATGTGTGTGCATATATATCTGATTATGTATGTGCACATGTATATATCTGTGTATATACGTATCTGGTTACGTCCATGTTGTAAGTTGCCATTGAATCAGCTCCAACTCATAGAAACCTTATGTATAACAGAATGAATTATGTCACCTGTCTGCCAGGTTGTTGCACTGTGGTGGCTTGCATGCTATTATGATATTGGAGGCTATACCACTAGTATTTCAAACAACAGCAGGGTCACCCATGGTGGACAGGTTTCAGTGGAGCTTCTTGACCAACAAAGACCAAGAAGAAAGGCCAAAAATTAGCCAACAAAAACCTTATGTATGTGATTATGCATATATATGTATAATGTGTACACATATGTATCTGATTATGTCCATGTATACGCACAGGCAGACCTCGGAGATACTGCGGGTTCAGTTCCAGACCTCCTTAATAAAGCGAGTATTGCGATAAAGCAAATCACACGAACGTTTTGGTTTCCCAGTGCAAATAAAAGTTATGTTTATACTATACTGTAGCCTATTAAATGTGCACTAGCATTTTGAAAGAGTTTGAAATATTGTGAAAGTTACCAACATGTGCCACAGAGACCTGGAATGAGCATATGCTGTTGGAAAAAATGGCACCTATACACTTGCTTGACACAAGGTTGCCACAAACCTTCAATTTCTTAAAAAAAAAAAAAAAGCGCTATCTGTGAAGTGCAATAAAACAAAGCACAATAAAATGAGGTGTGCCTGCATATATGTGTGCGAATGTGTGTATATATGTATCTGATTATGTCTCTGTATATGTATGTTGTGTATATTTCTCTAACCTCTTTCTATCTCATGGAGGACTTGCCTCAATGATAAAAAGAATCCCTCCTGTGCAGAAAGGACTTTTAAACTTTTACAAAACCCTTCTCTCTCTGTTAAGGTAAAGGATTCCCTAGTGTCCTAGTGGGGAGCAAGACAAGTCTGTCACCCCCAAGAGGGAATGGAGACCCAGAGAGGGGAAGTACCTGGGGTGAGTGGTATGAGGCCACACCATGGCTCAGCTAGGACTGGACCCCTTTGCTGAGGACTTCTTCTGGATCTGGCTGCCCTCATTTGGCCTGGGGCAAGGGTTGGGGACACTCACCATGTTTGGGAAGTAGGGTTTGGCCTGGCGGCCCTCGTCCATCTTGAACAGAGCAGGCAGGTCAATGATGTCCTCCTCGGTCAGCCCCAGCTCCTTCTTGAGGATGTCGCGGTTCCAGTCCAGGCAGCGCTGAGCAGGGAGAAGGTGGGAGGGCAGGTGGGTGAGAGGACACATCCTTGCCACCCAGGCCTATCCCTGCTACCTTTGTCAACCCCACCCCATCTGCGGCATCAGCCAGGGCCCCTGGTGCTCCAGGGGACTTCCAATGCTCACCTAGCACCTCACTACCTCTTGCAGTGCTCCTCTCCAATGGGGCTCAGTACCCGCAGAAATAATAACCACAAAGAGGAACACCACAGACAGTAAACCAGGATTAAGCCAACCAGCATATGGCATTCCCCTAGCCATAGTGATTGGTTCATGTTGGCCATGAACCATGTTGGCCATGTCAGAGTCGAATGTAAGGCTTATGTTCAATTGTTCTCTAATTGTGGATGGTGTGCTGGGTGAATGTGAGCCCTTGAACTGTTCCAGCCATATGCCTGCCATGAGGGCACTTGTAGAGCCCAAGAAGTGCAGAGAAATGGAGCTGGAACCCTGATCAACCTGTGCCTGAAACCCACACAACTGCTGGGCTTTCCATTTCTATGAGCCAAAAATGCCCTTTTGTTTAAACTTGTTTGAGTTTTCTTTCCTCCCCCTCCAAGTTGTTCTTTTAAAATATGCCAATGCAAATAAAAGGAGATTTAACTCAAAATACATACAACCCTCTTGACTAGCTTCTCCTTCTAGATATAACCTTTAGGACTTTGGGACTCAGAAAGTGGGGTCTATCCATAGATAGAAAACTTTAGGGATCTGTGATCCCCTAAAACTATTCAAAATTTAGGGCATATATTCATTTTTCAGGAGATCAGGCCTGTAGCCTATAGCTAGAGCTTTATGGGCTCTAGCCTTATGAGGACCTTGGCTATTTGTAGCTGCCTGGAGTGCCTCCCTTTCCAGGTTTTCTGCCAGATTCCAGCCTCTGCTGATCTGCACGTTCCACCCTCCATCTCCTCTTTTACTGTCCAGCTTCAGCACAAGAGTAAGTGAGGAGGCTGAACTGAATACTTGTTGAGGGTCTTCCCTATGCTCATGTGTCTGGGTGGGAGCCCCTGAGCTCTTGGCCATTCTCGTAGAGCCCCAAAGATATGAGGGGTGCCACTAGGCACAGCTTCATCCTTCCTGGTGGCCCTCTGTCCCAGCCCCCCAGCACCACTGGACCCCTGCCCTGCCCTTACCTGGAAGTACAGGTTCTCCTGCACAAGGCTCTCATTGGACAGAATCTTGTTGATGGTGATTCTCTTGCTGCTCATCCCACCCAAGCCTGTGGGGGTCAGAGGACAGAGGATGGTCCAGTCTCAGTAACCCAGGCTGGGTAACCCTCTGCCAAACACCTCCAACCCATGGGCTAACTGCTGGGGTAGGAGGATGGGGCTGAGGATAGCCTGAGGCACAGGAGGGTGACTACAGGAGAAATAGGTCCCCTCTGCCTGGGAAGGGCAGCATACACTCCGTTCTCCAGAGTCAGCCACGTTGCCTGGGCCAGGGAGAGGGGAGTAGCTGCCTTCAGTCTCTCTGGCAAGTAGGGTGGGGGTGGGGAGGTGCAGGCAGCCACCTGAGTCTCCTGCCTAGAGCCCAGTCTTTTTATTTTTTTTTTAATTGTGATTTGGGTGAAGATTTACAGAGCAAATTCACTTTCTATACAGCACTTCACATATACTTTGTCTCATGTCATTGACCAGTTTACCACAATGCAACAGCTCCCCTCCCATTTCCTCCCCATAGTTACTGCTTTCTAGTGTCCATCCCTCCATGCACTTCTGCCCCCTGAGCTCTCTCCCTGTGCATAAGCAGCCCTTCTTTCTCCCATGATTGTTCTCTCCAAGGAGTGTATCTACTTGAGGTAAACTCATATGCCTGTATTTTGTTTGGCTGAAACTAGAGCTCAGTCTTAAGGGTGAGCAGCTGACCAGCGTGAGTGTGCTAGGAGCAGAAGCCCAGAGCCATCACTTTCCCATTTTCTAGCCCTGCCTCATGCTCGGCCTCTGCCCTGCGCTGTGCCTGCCCCTGCCTCCTGTTCCACTGTAACAGCCATGTAGCTTCTGGCCTGATGAGTGATACCTAATACTCACTGAGCACATATTATGTGACAGGCATGCTTCTAAATGCTCAACATGGATTAACTCATTAATCTTCTCCACAGTGCTATGAGGTAGCCACTATCATGAAAGAAGAGGTGAAGTGACTTGTCCAAGATCCCATAGCCAGCAAGTGGCAGAGACTTTATATAGACCCAGGTAGTGTGGCTCAGAGCCTACGTTCAGGACAATTTTTGTTTGTTGGTTTGCCCGATCTGGGAATCACCTGCTGGTGATTTTGGCTTGTTACTTGTCAGGGCCGAAGAGATTGGGCTGTCAGACCCTGCACCCAAGCTGCTTCCATACCACCACTCAGTTCCATCTGTACAGAGATAACATCCCCTACATCCTATGGGTAGCTTTTTGGAGTCCTTGGGTGGTGCCAATGGTTAATGCACTGGGCTGCAGACCGAAAGGCTGGAGGTTCTAGTCTGCCCAGAGGTGCCTTGGAAGAAAGGCCTGGCATTCTATTTCCAAAATGCCAACAATTGAAAATCCTATGGAGCACAGTTCCACTCTGACACACAAGGGATCCCCAGGAGTTGAAGTCACTTCAACAGCACTGGTTCATGGGTAGTTCTTGGGGTGTATTTACAGAAAAGAAGCCTCCAGAAAGCCAGGACATGTGCCTGCCATGCCAAGAAAAAAATTTCCATCAGTAGAGAATTTCAAAAGGATGATGGTCTTAAATTGGTCTTGTCTGTCTAGATTGCAGTTACTGTCAGAAACACTGGGTAGAGAGGGCTGGGGAAAGGAATGAGGTATATTGGAGATACCAACCTGAAAAGTGACAAAAATAAGAAAAACACATAAGGGCTTGTCATGGCTTCTTGAGCCTGGCTCACTGCTCTCACCTGATCAGCTTTCCCTCTTTCCATGACTAAGTCAAGTACAAACCTCTTCCCAGTCTATCTCCGTCCCAGTTATGCAAGTGTCTAAATTAAGCAGATAGTTCCTCCCTCTGGGGCCAACAGTGATGATGTCTCACTGTCTATCAGTGTCTGTCGCAGTTCACTACTTCCTGCCTCTGAGGCACATTCTCTATGCTTCTCTCTCATCTCCCTCTCTGTAAGTTCCCTGCATCTGGATCACCTTTTGATTTTGAACCATTTAACTCTCCTATGTCTGGTGAGATTTAAAGCATATGCTGTTGTTTGGTACTGCTGAGTTGATTCAACTTATAGTGGCTGCAGGGGACAGAGCAGAACTGCCCCATAGGGTTTTTTGGGCTGTAATCTTTACAGAAGCAGATCACCTGGTCTTTTTCCCACATTCAAAGCATATACAAGGTTCTTAAGAAGCACTTGGTGCTATTGACGATAATAAGGAAAAGTGAGCATGGGTCATCTGACAAGGGTCCCAAGAGGGCAGGGCTGCTTCCCACTGTGGTGACCTTACAAACCATGGAGTGGGACAGATGCCTCAGGGAAGTGGAGCTGGTACTCAGGGACAAAGTGCTCACCCCCCGCCCCCAATCCTCCTGAGGGTCTTGCTAGGAGCTTGAGCTCCTCTGTCTCTGCCACAGTCCTGTGGCCACTCACCTTTGAACATGATGGCCTCCCCATAGCCCTCCTTCTGCTTCTCCCGGAAGAGCTTGTAGCAGGCCGCAGTGCTGGCCATGAGCATCCGGAATTGCTGCGAGGGAGTCCAGGGGGACAGTGTCAGCAGAGGGAGCCCCTGTCCTGGGGATCCCAGCCCTGTCTGCACATGGCCTCCAGCCTCCAATACTAAGCACAAAGGCTGCCTGGGAGGGCGTTCTCTGTTTCAGAGGAGCAGTTCTCAACCTCGTTGCTACAGAAATCCCTCCACCGCAGTAGAACGTCATCAAGTCAAGCTCAGAGTAGAAGAACTTCTCCAAGTGGCCAAGAGGCCAGGCCAGAGTATAAAGTCACAGCCATTCCTCCCACTTGAGGAAATACAAGAATCTCCTTCTAGAACGTCAGGTCTGTACCTCATTGCTCTCTAGAGGTACTGACCAGTATGGTAGCCACTGGCCCCATGTGGCTATCAAGCACTTGAATTGTGGTTTGTCTGAGTTGAGATGTGCTGTGTGAAAAACCCATGGAGGGCAGTTCTACTCTGAAACACATGGGGTCACCATGAGTTGATGTCACCATGAGCTGGGGTCACCATGAGCTGGAACTGATTCGACACCATCTGGTTTTTGGTTCATGAGAGTAAAACATACATTGGATTTTCAAGACTTAGTAGAAAAAAGAACATAAAATATCTCATCGTAATTTTATGTTGATTACATGTTAAAATGCTATTTTTTGATTTATCAGGTTAAATAGAACGTATTATTAAGATTAACTTCATCTGTTTCTTATTATTGTTTAAAATGTGGCTTCTAGAAAATGTAAAATTACATATATGGCTTGCATTGTGGATCACATTCTATTACTGTCGGACTGCACTATTCCAAACTTCTCAGAGAGTGCTACGTGGCATCCACTTCCATGACTATATCACAGTGACAACACACAAACCAACTTCAGCCTACTTCCTTCTTCTTCTATGCAGGTTACCTCCTCTAGACCCTGCCCTCTGCTGGTCAGGGCTGGGAGGACATGGGTTGTCCTCCACCCTGTTGACCCCAGGTTTGGGGGCTAGCTCACCTTTGTGTCTGGGATGGGGACAAAGGTCATGAACTCATCCACATGGCCCACAGTCAGCCAGTCTGAGTAGAGTTCCACGGGTGCCTGCACCTGCTGGGCCTGCAGGAAGTCACGCACCACCTTGGTCATCCTCCGACCACCGGACCTGATCAAAGAAGAATCTGCCTTATCGTTGGCTGGTGGGTCACCTGGGCAGGGAGTGTGGGTGTCACAGACACCCACAGGGACTCATGTTTCTGGGGCAGGGCCATGTCCGCTCTTGCCTTGTCTGTTGACGGACAGCCCAGAGGGTTCACCGGAATGCTCCCACTCATCCCGTTGCAGTATTCCTTCCCTGGACTTCTCCATCCCTTCCCTATCTGGTTTATAATGTCATTATAAACTCATTGCCATCGAGTTGATTCTGACTCATAGCAACCCTATAGAACAGAGTAGGATTGCCCCATAGTATTTCCAAAGCTGTAATGTGTGGAAGCAGACTGCCTCACTTTTCTTCTGTGGAGCGGCTTGGTTAGCAGCCAAGGCCTTAACCACTGCATCACCAGTGCTCCTTAATCTCTATTTTGGGAAGAGAGTTATTTCCTTAGTTTTATGTTGGATCCCAATTCATATTAAGATGTAAATCAAAATAAAAAGTTTTTTTTTTTTTTTAAAAAGGGATAAAAAATTTTCAGGCAGACAGACAAATTTCATTTCCACAGGACTTCAGTGAAAATACTGGGGGGGAAAAAAGATGTAAAGGCTAACTTGGTTTTCTTTCCAAGAGCGTCTGTATCTTATGAGAGAGTCATGGGAGGGGGTCATTTTTCCCAGCCAATCACTCCATGTTTAAGCACCCCAGGCCACCCCTAATGAAAAACAGTGACTCCCCACCCCACGGCCCCCGCCCTTCCAGCTTCTCTTACAGAGGAAAGCTGCTCCCGACGAGGATCCGGCCCAAGGGGTACGCCTTGCCATTCACGGTTACTGGGGGACTGACTTCCAGGTTCCCAAATGAATCCAGGCTGGTGACGGGCTCATAGAGGGGCTCCCGGGTCACATAGCCAAAGTCCGGGCCCTAGGCAGAGGGCACACATCTGTCATTAATCTCCAGCAGTCCTCAGCCACCCTCTGATGGACATTCTATCACCACCTTCAGTCTGGCATTGTGGGCCTTGACTTCTAGGGGGGTGCTCATGGTCTGCTTATTTCCACCACAGGACAGGCCCTGGGCATGGGGAGGCTAAGCATGTGCACATCTCGGTGTGAGTGTAAGTGTGAGTAGATGAGTGTGTGTATGCCTCTAACTCTATTCCAAGTATCACACACACATAATGTGACTTCATTTGTGCTACTGATGTCCCTCCTCATCTCTTAATTTCTCTGGCCCTCAATTTCCCTATCTCAACAACAAATGTTGGAGCAGGGGACCTGAGGCAGGGTAGGAGATTATATTATTGTCCCCAGAGATCTGCTACCCACTTCCCAGTGAGGATTTTGCATCCTGACTCATTGCCTTGTGAGAAGGAATACGTTTCCCCATCTGAGGGCAGACTTGGTCATGTGACTTGCTTTGGCCAATGAAATGTGAGCAGAAGTGATACATGCCAATTAAAAGCAGAAGTTGTAAGGAGCACTGCATGAGCCCACTACCTCCCTTTCTCCTCTCCTGGTGTCAGAGAGTGGCATTTCCCTCCCTTTCTCCTCTCCCGGTGTCAGAGAGTGGCATTTCCCTGGACTCTAGGATGAGGAAGACACAAGGAAGCAGAGCCACAGTCAATATGGAATGTGAGCAAGAGATAATAAGCCTTCGTTGTTAGCCCCTGAGATTTGGGGACTGTTTGTGAAGGCACCCTTGGCTAGTGAAAGCTAATCACTCCACGTGGCAATGGTAGATGAGTACAGATACTTACCATGGGAATGTGAACCATTCCCAATTCAACATACTTTTCCACCAAACCCAGATGCAGCCTCAGAATCCTTCTTAACACAGAGCTCCACCAGAATGGAGTTGGCACATGAGATGTAGCTCCATCGACTCCTTGAACATGAAGGGTCTTTTCATGATTTTTTGATAAAAAAGTAGGGACCTTGTTTGGGAACTTGTATAATTTGCTGGGTCTAAAGCTTGCCTGGGGAGCTCTGGTAGCATAGTGGATAAGACACTTGCCTGCTAACCAGAGGGCTGACGGTTCAAACTCACGAGCCACTCCTCGGAAGGAAGGTTGGGCAATCCTACTTCCATAGTGATACTGCCTCGGAAACCCAAGGAGGGGTCGCTATGAGTCAGGTTTGACTCGACGGCACATAACAACAACAACAACAACAAAGCTTGCCTGACGAAATCCCTACTGACCAAAACCAGTGGAGTAGGAGGATTTGGCTTCTGCTGACCCAGCTGAGAGGCTCAAGGGACAGCTGAGCCTGGTGGGGTGGGTCACTGCTGCTTAGTGCTTTCTCACCTGGGAGCCCCAACTGGCCAGGTGGGAGCTCCCAGGAGCGTAGACAGCTGGGGCTTTACAGCATTACGTTGGCAGACAGGAATGCAGTCAGGAACAATGCCATCTGGGATCCTGAAACTATGCCAGCTGGAACACTGAAGACAGGTGGCAGCCCAGGGAAAAGGGAGTGGGCAGGTTCTGGGAGGTCTCTAGTCTCATGCCTGCGGTAACAACTGCTGGTGGCCAATTTGACTTGGCTTCTCCAGATGTGCAAGAGACGGGCATGGGGACAGTAATCTTACCAACGATTGTGCCCAGGGTTGTGAAATGATGATCATAACAACTGCTAACAATGGTCATTCCATCAGGTGCAGCACTGATGCCTTAGCACCTTCAGTCTTCACTGCAATCCTATGAGACCTGTACTGTTTTCATCCTCATTTTACAGATGAGCAAACTGAGGTTCATGGAGCTTCAGTTACTTGTTCAAGGCCACACTGTTGCTAAGGGGTGGAGCCAGGACTGAAGGTCAGGTCCAGATGACACTCCAGAGCTTTGTGCTCACACTATGGGCTCCACCTTCTCCCCAGGGTAGGAGATGAGGTTAGTGAATTCTCTCAAGAAGAATGTGTGGTCCTGTGGTGACCCATGACCATTGTCCTCACACAGCAGGTCGTGGAGGGCATAAAGGGAGGGAAAAACTGGGGGAGTCAGATTGCTTAAAAAAAAAAAAGAGCTGAAGACCAGGGCCTCAAGGTTCTCACAAGCTCTGAAGTTGGAACCATGATTTTCAACAATTGGTAATTATCCTTTTCCACTCCTAAAACTTACTTTGCTTCATGTTGGAGGTGGCGCAGCAGCATGGGACAGAGCCCTGGAGCTGGGGCTCGCCCTGCCTCCATCTCCTGCAGTTCCCATGTCTTGGCATTCTACACATCTTGCAACAGCATCAGTTATTAGAGCAGGAAATGACCTGAGCAGGCACTACCCCAACTGACCCACTATGCAGATGAGACAATGAAGGCTCTAGGCAGCAGAATAAGGAGTCCATGGGATGGCCCTCTTAGCTAGGCGGCCCTTGGCTTCTCACCAGGAGCTGCTTCATTGGGTAGTCCTTCAGGTATCCATCTCGGGGGGAGTCCAACACCACAGGGAAACCTTTGTGGGGGGCCTCAATGTAGCCAAACTCAACTTCATCCTGTGGAGACAGCAAGGAGAGCTCTCAGATGAGTCTGGAGGGCTGGACAGCTCCCATGTGGAGGCCCCTCCTAGGGGCTCCGGGGAATACCCTCCGGCCTGAGTGGGACTGGGAGGGGCTTTTGAAAATGTAAGTAATTTGTGCCATGGGCATAAAACTCAAAAGGCACAAGAGCATAGAGTGAAAAGTTAGTCCCTTGCACTCTATCTGCTGGTCCCCCATTCTCCTTCTTGCAGGCAAATGCCAGCAGCAGCTTCTTACAGATCCTCCTAGAAACATTCTCAGCATATCACAAGCATGTTTGTACGTCTCACAATTGTAATTTTTTTTATTGTGGTGAAAATATACACACTAAAACATGTGCCAATACAACAACTTTCACATTTACAATTCAATTACCAAAAAACTCAAAGTAAATTCACTGCCATTGAGTCAATGACCCCTGTTGGGTTTCTGAGGCAGTAAATCTTTATGGAAGTAGAGTGCCCCGTTTTCCTTCTACGGAGTGGCTGGTGGGTTTGAACCACCAATCTTCTTTCTGGGTAGCAGTCAAATGCCTTAGGCACTGTGCCACCAGAGCTTCAATTGCATTGGTGACATATTTCACGTTGTGCCACCAGCCACCATTATCACTATTCTTTTCCAAAATATTCCACCGCCATTAACATAAACTCAATGCCTCCAAACAAAACCTCCATCTTTTCTCCTCCCTCCGACCCCTAACCCGAAAACTCAAACTCACTGCCATCGAATCGATTAGACTCACAGAGACCCCTCCTTGGGTTTCCAAGGTGGTATCTCTACAGAAGTTGCCCAACCTTCCTTCCCAGGAGTGGTTGGTGGGTTTGAACCGCCAGCCTTCTGGTTAGCAATCAAATACCTTAGGTGTTATGCCACCAGAGCTCCCTCCTAGTAACCAGGAATAATCTTTGGTTTCCACACATTTATTTCATATAAGTGAGATCATACAGTATTGGCCTTCTGTCCTATTTCACCTAGCTTACTGTTTTCAAAGGTCGTTTTAAGACTTCCTTTCAATCTCACATAAATGGTGGCATTTTGTACTGTATACATCTCGGTACAAGTAACAATGTAATGTGGGGCTTGTTCCGTCTCTGTACTTACAGACTGGTCCCCTTCTCTTCAGCTATTGCATAGCACTATGGTAAGGTTTGACCAGACATATCTGACTGGTACCCTACAGATGGATACTTAATGTTGTTTTTCAGCCTTTTGCTTTAAGAAACAACACAGTCAGGAACTGCCTCTTCCATTCCTTCTTTGTGTGCATATTATTTGATGGAAGATTCCTATATGCAGAGTGGCTGGAGGCTGGGGAGTTACGTTAAGCCAACTCTTCTGGTCTGGCCCCTGGGCCCCACCCTTCTGAGCCTGGCCTCTCACCTGGATCCAGCGGTCACCCCGGTTTATGTACTGGAAGCAGACTTTCAGTTCACAGTTGGTTTTCTCGACCAGGCTCTTCACCTCTTTCAGGAACAGGTAATTGTCCTTCATGCTGAGAAGTTTAGGGGCAGAAGGGTAAGGAGAGACAAAGGCCCGCCCTACAGAGGTAGGGGTAGGTGCAAGGTAGATGAGACACCATCTGTGTTCTCTGTGCCTTTGAGAAAGGCTGACGGAATCCAAGGCCAAGTTTCCCATAAACCTACCCTCCCATGTGATGTTTTGTCAAAGTCATGAGCAAACAGAATGAGGAGGGGACTCTTACTTCCACCTGCCACAAAGCCTTACATCTCTAGGTCCCCCTGGATTTTCAAAAAAGAGCAATGCCCAGGAGAAGTGGCCATGTGCTGCCCATCACAGGGTTGGGGATGGGCTCAGGACCTTGGAGTCCCCTTCAGTGCTGCAAGCCATCCGCCTGTAGGCACTTCCTCCCCCTGCTTCTCATCTTGCTGAATCTGCCCAGCACATAATAACCATTGCCTTCAAGTCCATTATGACTCATAGCCATCCTACTGAACAGAGCAGAACTACCCCATAGGGTTTCCAAGGTTGTAAATCTTTACGGAAGTAGACAGCCTCATCTTTCACCCATGGGTGACTAGGTTTGAAATGCCAATCTTTTGTTTAGCAGCTGAGTACTTAACTACCTACACTACTAAGTCTCTTTAAACACATAATAACCAAACCAAAACAAACCCAACACTGCCAGCGAGTCGGATCTGACTCACAGCAACCCCTCCTTGGGTTTCCAAGGCAGTATCACTACAGAAGTAGATTGCCCAACCTTCCTTCTGAGGAGTGGCTGGTGGGTTTGAACTGCTAGCCTTCTGGTTAGCAGTCAAATGCCTTAAGCACTATGCCACCAGGGTTCCCTAAGCACATAATAGGTGCTCAGTAAAATTCGGCTTAATGAATGAGTAAAATGAGGTGAGCCTATCGCACAGGTGGCTCCCAACTGCATGGTATGGGCCTAGACTGAGAAAGAAGAGGGTAGCTATTATTCTTAGTGTACACATTTGTGCCAGGATGCATGCATAAATGCATCAATGCTTTGCTTGGTTCATCTCATTTAACCCTCACAGTGACTGTGTGATGTGGGCATTTCAGAGAAACTGAGGCACAGAGAGGTTCAAGGTCACACAGCTGGTGACAAAGCCAGAATTCTAACTCAGGTCCGTCTGGCCCTGAAGCCTCAGCTCTTGGCCATCCCTTACCAGCATACAAACACCGACACTGGAGGTAGGATGTTGGGCGTCATGATCCACGGAGCAATCCGGAATAGCACGGTGTCTGTGAAGATGGGTGTCAGGGGAATCTCCTGGGTATGAGAGAAAGGGGAGAGATCAACGTCTCCTCACGGTGCTTTACGCTCCTGCCTTTCAAAGAGGGTGACACTGGTGACAACAGTGCATCTATTTAGGCCCCGTGCAAAGTACCTGCACATGCACCAATTCATTTCTGCCTTACAACCACCCCAGGGGTAGATACTACTGTAATCTCCATTGGATAGATTGGGAAACTGAGTCTCAGAGATGTTAACCAGGACTTAAACCCAGGATGGATGGTCTGGCTGCTGCATTCTTAGCTACTGCCCTGATCAAAGTTCTCCTCCTGAAACTGGCCACATGATGGCTGAGCCAGTCCTGGGCCTGCTTCTGTTTTTGCTCTGGGCACCCCACCCTTTTCTAAGTAGGAGCATTTCAAAGCTGTCTGGTAGAATGCTATATGCAGACTATACTGTGTTTTAAGGAACCGTTCAGGCAGTTTGCAATAGGATTCCAGGGATCCTTTGAGTGGCAGCTTTGAAAAGTTACATGAAACCAACCCCTGCTCTTGGCAGGAAGGATGGTGACGGGGGTGGGGCTGAGGAGGGAGGGATGGGGGGATGGGACCATGGGTGTGGCTTGCCACATGCACCAGACTGCTTGCCTCTCCAGCCCTAATGAAAAAAACAAACTCACTGCCACTGACTCATAGCGACCCCTCCTTGGGTTTCCGAAGCAGTAACTCTACAGAAGTAGATTGCCCAGTCTTCCTTTCTAGGAGTGGCTGGTGAGTTTGAACCGCCAGCTTTCTGGTTAGCAGTCAGACGCCTTAGGCACTATGCCACCAGAGCACCCCAGGTCTGCCTTTTGAGTCTCTGTTGGTGCTCCCAGTGGGGCCAGTCTGAGAGACTCTAGGGGCTAGGCTGCTCTGGGCCTGAGTGGGAGCTGGAGAAGCCCCTTCTTTGTGTCCAGTCCTGCTGGCTTTGCCTTTTCGGATTTCACCTCTTCCCTGGAGCATGAGGGTGCCTTTTTATTTCATGTGTTTTTAGTGAAAGTTTACATAGCAAGTTAGGTTCCCCTTTGACAATTCCCACACAAATTGATCAATGGTATCATACATTTTTCACATTGTGTCAACATTCTCATTAATAGTGTTCTGATTGTTCCATTTCCAGCATTCCAGATTCTCTGCCCCCTTATTTTCTCATCTTTGCTTTGGAATAAATACTGACCTTTTAGACCCATACATATATATATTTTTAATAGATCACTGATCTAGTGAGTAATATCCTTTATTTTATGAGCCACTCTGCTTTTCTATTAAAAGGTGATCTCAGGGGAAAGTTTTGGTTCAAGGTTTGAAGAGTGCCTCAGAGCAATAGTCTCAGGGGGACAGACCTCTGGTCTCTGGTCTCAGTTAATCTGGTCATTTTTAGGAAATCTGAGTTTTGTTCTGCATTCTAACCAGCATCACTTGTTGGAGCCCTAGTCAGATTGGTCAGTGGTGGTGGCCAGGCACCATCTAGTTCTTCTGGTCTCAGGGCAGTAGGGGTTATAGCTCATGTAGGCTATTAGCCTTGTAGACTTGTTTCTTCTGTGATTTTGGTTACCTTCTTGCCCTTTTGCTCCCGACAAGTAGAGACCAATAGTGTAGTTTAGGTGGCTGCTTGCAAGCTTTTAAGACCCCAGATGCTACTCACTTCACTAGGATGTAGAACATGGACTTCGTGAACTTTCATAGGCCAATTGACTGAGTTGTCCCATGAAACTAAGCTCCTAAGTCTTCAAATCTAGAAAACCAATCTCTCAAGGTATTTGGTTATATCTGTAATTGTGTCTTCTATAAATATATGACACATTGATAATTATTGGTGATTGGAATACAAAAGTTAGAAACAAAGAAGGACCCATAGTTGGAAAATATGGCTTGGAGATAGAAAGGACCTGATGATTGCATAATAGAATTTTGCAAGACCAATGACTTATTCATTGAAAATACCCCTTTAAACAACATAAACAGTGACTCTACATGTATATTTGCCAAATAGAAAACACAGGAATCAAACTGACTACATTTGTGGAAAGAGATGTAGGAGAAGCCTAATATCATCTATCAGAATAAGGCCAGGGGCCAACTGTGGAATCAATTGCTCATATGCAAATTCAAGCTGAAGCTGAAGCAAATTAAAACAAATCCACAAGAGCCAAAATACAACCTTGGGTATATCCCACTTGAATTTAGAGACCATCTCAAGAATAGATTCGAGATATTGAACACTAATGACCGAAGATCAGACGAGTTGTGGGATGACATCAAAGACATCATAGATGAGGAAAGCAAAAGATCGTTAAAAAGACAGGAAAGAAAGGAAAGACCAAAATGGATGTCAGAAGAGACTCTGAAACGTGGTCTTGAATGTAGAGTAGTTAAAGTGAATAGAAGAACTGATGAAGTAAAAGAACTGAAGATTTTAAAGGACCACTAGAGAAGACAAAGTGAAGTATTATAATGAAATGTGCAAAGACTTGGAGTTAGAAAGCCAAAGGGAAGAACACCCTTAACAATTTCATGTTGAAAGAACTAAAGAAAAAATTCAAGCCTTGAATTGCAATACTTAAGGATTCTATGTGCAAAATATTGAATAATGCAAGAAGCATCAAAAGAAGATAGAAGGAATACACAGAGTCACTGTACCAAAAAGAACTAACTGGTCAATATTCAGCCATTTCAAGGAGGCAGTATATGATCAAGAACTGATGGTATTGAAGGAAGAAGTCCAAACTGCACTGAAGGCATTGGTGAAAAATAAGTCTCCAGGAATTGATGGAATACCACTGAGATGTTTCAACAAACAGATTCAATGCTGGAAGCACTCACTCATCTATATCAAGAAATCTGGAAGACAGCTTACTGGCCATCAAACTGGAAGAAATCTATATTTGTGTCCACTCCAAAGAAAGATGATGCAATAGAATGAAGAAATTATTGAGCAATATCATTAGTAAAATTTTGCTGAAGGTAATTAAAAATAGTTCCAGCAGTACATTGACAAGGAACTACCAGACATTCAAGCTAGATTCAGAAGAGGATGGGGAATAGGGGATATTGTTGCTGATATCAAATGGCTCTTGGCTGAAAGTGGAGAATACCAGAAAGATGTTTACCTGTGTTTTATTGACTATGCAAAGGCATTTGACTTTGTGGATCATAACAAATTATGGATAACATTGTGAAGAATGGGAATTCCAGAACACTGAATTGTGCTCGTGAGGGACCTATTCATAGACAAAGAGGGTGTCGTTCAAACACAACAAAGGGATACTGTGTGACTTAAAATCAGGAAAAGTGTTCATAAGGGTAGTATCCTTTCACTACACTTTTTCAATCTGTATGCTGAGCAAATAATCTGAGAAGCTAGACTATATGAAGAAGAATGTGACATCAGGATTGGGGGACAATGCATTAACAACCTGTAATATGCATGCATATGACACAACCTTGTTTGCTTGAAGTGAAGAGGACTTGAGGCACTTACTGATGAAAACCAAAGCCTACAGCCTTCAGTATAGATTGTACCTCAACAAAATCCTCACAACTGCACCAATAAGCAACATCATGCTAAATGGAGAAAAGACTGAAGTTGTCAAAGATTTCGTATTACTTGGATCCACAATCAACACCCACAGAAGCAGTGGTCAAGAAATCAAACAACAAATCGCATTGGGCAAATCTGCTGCCAAAGACCTCTTTGAAGTGTTAAGAAGCAAAGATGTCACTTTGAAGAATAGGGTTCACCTGACCCAAGTCATGGTATTTTCAATTGCCTCATATGCATTTGAAAGCTGGACAATGAATAAAGAAGACCGAAGAAGCACTGATGCTTTGCTATGGTGTTGGCAAAGAATACTGAATACCACCAACAGCCAGAAGAATGAACAAATCTGTCCTGGAAGAAGTGCAGCTGGAATCCTCCTTATACATGAGGATGGTGAGCCCTCGTCTCAAGTACTTTGGACACTTTATCAGGAGAAACCAGTCCTGGAGAAGGACATCATGCTGTTGAGTCAATTTGACTCACAGTGACCCCTCCTTGGGTTTCTGAGGCAGTATCACTACAGAAGTAGATTGCCCAACCTTCCTTCCAAGGAGTGGCTGGGGGGTTTGAACTGCCAGCTTTCTGGTTAGCAGTCAATTGCCTTAGGCACTATGCCACCAGAGCTCCCTGATAAAGTAGAGGGTCAATGAAAAAGAGGAAGACCCTTAACAAGATGGACTGACACAGTGGCTGTAACAATGGGCTCAAATATAGCAATGATTGTGAGGATGGCACAGGACTGGGCAGTATTTTATTCTGTTGTACACAGGGTCACTATGAATCGGAGCTGAACTGACTGCACCTAACAATGACCTAACCATTTTATGTATGTACCACATTTTACTTATCCATTCATCTGCTGATAGGCATTTCAGTTATTTATTTTTTGTCCTGCTGTTGTGAATAGAGCTGCAGTGAACACAGGAGTATTTGTATCTGTGTCACTACTTCTGGTCTCTAAGTTACATCCCTAGGAATGGGATTGCTGGACCATAGTATTTCTAGTTTTTTGAAGGTACTTTTTGAGTGAGTACTTTGCAAATTTGGATGCTCATAACCACCCAGAAAAGCAAACGATTTTGTTATCTTTGTTTTATAGAGGAGAAAACTAAGGCACCAACCAACCAAACCAACCAATTACTGTTGAGTTGATTCTGACTCAGGGAACCCCATGTGTGTCAGTAGAACCACACTACATATGGTTTTCAATGGGCTGATTTTGTTCAGAAGTAGATTGCCAGGCCTTTTTTTCTGAGGTGTCTCGGGGTGGACTTGTACCTCCTCCAACTTTTCAGTTAGTAGCCAACTATATCAATTGTTTGTACCACCCAGCAACTCCAACTAAGACAACAGAGCTCCCAACTAAGGCACAGGGAAATTAATTCATGTGTCCAGTATTTCACAGTGGTTGAACCAAGATTCAAACTCAGTCTGTCTGGTCCCAGCCTTACCTTCTACAGAGCCCATGGTATCCTGCCCCAAAATGGCTCACAGGTAAGAATGAGGAAGGGATCTCAAATCTGGGAAAGCAGCCAGGGCCCTCCCTATATCTGAGAGGCTGGGGTCTGATGAGAGGTTCTCATGAGCAGGACACTGCCTAAGTGAGGGGCACTTCTCCTCTGGAGGGGCAGGGGCTTTCCTTCTTGCCTTGATTCCCATTCTATGTCTGGAACAAGGTAAGGCCCAATACGGGACTGGGATTTGGGGTTCAGCTCATGGTCAGAGTTGGTATAACCCATGGCTAGGGCGAGGGGTTGGTCTGGAGCAGGAGTTAAGGATTCAGGATGGGGTGCACAGTAGGTAGTTAACAAACCTCACATGTGGCCTAATTAGGTCCTCATGCTAACCATCAAGGCTCTTTGTCTCAGAGCTGGGCCTACACTACTGCAGGGAGGAGTACAAGCCAGGGATCAGGCATAGCGAATGCCAGAACACCTCACCTATATGGAATTCCTGGGGAGTAAGTGCAATAAGAAGGAGCACAGCTCAGAGGACCATGGCAGATACAGGTGGGTGGGTGGGTGGGCTTCTAGGTCTCTAAGTTTGTGGTCCTTCTTGGTGCTTTAAGACCATGAAGCACACTGTGCACCCCTGGGAATGGGCCTATAGTAGGACTTGCCTACTTCCTATGGGAGAGGCCAACAGAGAATTTTCAGGCCAATTCATAGTACATGTACTGAATTACTACACTGTGACCAGCATTGGCAAGGACGCTCAGGGGAGATTGAGATTATGAAGATGTAACATCTATGGGTCTAAGACCTTAACCCCAGGGGTATCCCATCATGGTGGAGGCCTTGAGACCTCACCTCAGCCATATACTCCAGCAGACTGACGTGGATGGAGACCAGGCCTGAGAAACCCTCGTCAGGGAAACGTAGACCTTCAACAAAGAACAGCAGCTCTGCAGAGCCACCCGTGTACTTGACCACATGGTACAGCTTCCGCCGGCCCAGGATGTGGATATAGCGCTGGCCAAAGAATGGATCTAGAGAGAAAACAACCAATGTTAGGTCCCCAGCACTCACCGGGAAGAGGCCAGTGGGGTGGAATCATTGATGGGGGACAAGATGGCAGAATAACTTGTACTCTAGATGCAGACAGAAAAGCACAAGCAGAAAATGCCACCAATATCCTGGTGGCTTGGCCATTGTCATTGTCTTGGCACTGCTGTGCATAAGTTCTGGGCACTGAACCAAATGACCTCTCTGGCTGTAGCTTCCTTGTCTATACAATGGACTAATTTTCTCATGAATGGTACATATGAAAATGATAGACAATAATTGAGCAGCTAGAGGTTTCATGGAAGGATATGATTGCTCCTATTTTACAAATGAGGAAACTGAGTGTCAGAAAAGTGAAATGGCTTGTCCAAAGTCAAACAGCTGCCTAAATCAGTGGTTAATCTGGTATGCCAAGGTCCCCCCCCCCTTATATAAATAAAACACTAATGTGCCCACTTGTACCAAAAACTCCCTTCCATATAATAGGAGCCACATTAGCATAAAGACCCATACATGGGGCTCTGACTGCACATTTCATGGCTGCGAGGAAAGGCAGGTTTCCTGCTCCACTACACTCATCTAGCTTTTCATAGTGCTGTCCCTTCTGCTTGAGATAGTCATCTCCCTTCCTCCTTCCGGTCTTCATTTGTGTCACTTCTGGGAATCCTGCCCAGATTTCTAAGCTCTGGAGCTTCCACAGCCCCTTAATCTTCTCCATCATAGCCCTTCTAATGGCACCTGAACCCATGTGTTTAGTTGTCAGCTCCGAGAGCCTGTCATCTGCCTAACAGCAGGGATGATGCCTGCCTCACACACTTGACAGACCCAGTCCAGACCCAGTCCCTGGCACATGGCAGTGTTTAATACATGGCTACTAAATGAACATATGACTCCCATATCACTCTCGATGGGACAGGCCAACAGAAAGTTTTCAGGCCAATTCATAGCACATGTATTGGAATTACTACTCTGTGACCAGCAATGGCAAGGACCTTCAGGAGAGAAGGAGATGATTAAGATGCAGCATATGTGGGTGTAAGAGCAATGCTTGGCCAATGATAAGGTAAAGTGGATGTGGGAAGTATCATAAGGGAACTACTAGTGAGAGGAAGATCCTGTCATGTTACCAGGAATGGGGGAAGGGAGGCAGGGTGGAAGCATCTGAGAGAGGAAGACAGGGACTGAGGTGCCTTTGCAGGTGGCAGAGACAGGGTGTGGGTGGGGAAAGGAGATACTTGCATTGGCAAAGGCATGGAGGTAGAACCCTACGCAGCTCCAGAAGGAGTTTCTTTATGTCCTGCAGAGCTGGAAGGGTGGAATCAGGCTCAGCTTGGTATGATTGTCAACAACAACAGCAATGGTTAAAGATCCAAGGATTAGAATATGTGACTAGAACAGTCCTAGCACAAACAAGGCACTTGATCAAAACTTGCAAAATAAATGGATGAACCACTGAAGGGCTCCTCTAGACCCTGGTTGAGTATCTCACAGATGCATGTCCATGGCCACCAGGCACAAGCAAGAGGTGGGTTACTAGTTTTGACTTCCAGGGTCAGAGACACCTGTGTTCAAATCCAAGTCTGGTCTTAATCAGTCGCTGCTGAGTCAATTTTGACTGATGGTGACCCTCTGTGTATCAGAATATAATCGTGCTCTATAGCGTTTTCAGTGACTGATTTTTCAGACATAGATTGCAAAGTCTTTCTTCAGAGGTGCCTCTGGGTAGACACGAACTCCCAACCTTCAGTTAGCAGCTGAGTATGCTAACAGTTTGCACCACCAGGGACTCCACTCGGGCCTTAGAAGCTGTGAAACCTTGAAGAATATACTTAAACTCTCCAAGTCTCAGCTTACTTGTGGGGATGCTAATATTAATATCATAGAGCTATTGCAAGATAAAACAACACAGCATTGGTAATCAATTGAGGGTTCACTCCTGGGACCTGTTGGGATTACCATTCTGAGAGCTTGTGAATGAATCAGTGCACCCTGATCACAAAACTTCTGACCCTCTCTCCAACATCTTGCGAATGGCTTCCAAATAGAAGGCAAAGCCACAATACCTCACCTCACCCTCCCTTGGGCGGTTCCCAGAACTGAGCTGGATAGGTTTTGACACACTGAATGGCCTGAGGAACTTGTCACCAGCCAACACAGAAGGTGGCATCCTTCTCACCCAGAAATGACAGTGTGCCCTGAAGCCCAGTCACTGGGTAGACCCAGTTTGATTTGTATCATAAAAATATCCCCCCCGGCACTCAGGCCTGCCCAAATGCGCATGTCCTGGGCTGCGCTTGAACTGATGCTCTGGGGAGAGATGCAGGTCTAGAAAGCCAACTTGTTTTTGCAGTAGCAGCTGCTCCAAAGGTTTCCCAGCACTCAGGGCAGTCAGTGGCTCTGCCAGGCTCCAGCAGAGCAGAAGGGGTTGGGCCAGGGGAGCTGGGCTAGTAGAAGGGCATGGTCTAGCCCATCTGCTGGCAGCTTCTCCCTCCTGATGTGGCTTGTGGCCTGTGACTCACAATGTGTCTCTCTGTCCTGAGTCTCTTTCTTGTGGCTTGGGCCAGCTCCAGGCAGATTGATTCCTCTATGGGAACAATCCAGCCACTGTCCAGAGGAGCCTCCTTTCAGAGCCCCTAGCTTGGTGCTGACTGACCTGAGCATGGGTGGCTCTCTCTGCAGGAGCTAACAATGACCCTCTGTTGAGCAGTCCACATGCCTTGGGCTGGGCCTGCCAGCCACCTTGACCTCTCACCCTCACTCTGGCCCCAGCCAGCTAGCTATGGGGTATGGCTTGGCATAATTTGACCAGTTACTTTGGAGCAACACCACCTACAAAGGAGCTTCTTTGATAACGTGAGTAACTGACTTGGTTTGCCTGGAACAAGGGACTTTCAGTGCTGAAATCAGGCAAGTCCCAGGCAAAATGGGTTAAGGTGGTCAGTCTATGGTCGTCAGAAGGGATGAGGCCCCAACTCTGGGGGTTTGGAGGGCAGAACCTGAGGCTATAGGATAGACACCAGAGTTTTCCTAACAGAACGGGAGAGTCTACCCACTCCAATGATTACAAGTCATCATCATCATCATCATCAAAGCAATAACTGCCATTTAGAGAGAACATTCCATGGTCCAGGAGCTGATCTGAGGGTCTTCTACCCATTCCTCATTTAATCCTCATCACCATCTGTGGCAGCTGGGACTATCCTTATTCCCACCAAGGCACAAGCTAGTGGGGAGACTTGCCCAGATCCAGAACTTGACCCCAGACTTTCCTGAGGCAGAGCTCCCAGCCCAGCCCCACTGTCCTTGTCATCTCTTCTAGGACACAGGGGACATGTGACATTCATGTAACAGCACATTCTCATTCACAGGTGTACTCAGATTTTAACAAAGCACCAAATATTTGCAAGGAAGAAAAGGAAACTGCCATTATTATTATTACTAATTATTTGGTGTGGTACAGAGTTTTCATCAAGAATTCCACATTTTGTGCAGAACAAAATTTCAATTCTCATGGAATCCAGACTTTCTGGAGCTACTGAGGCTGGATGAACTCTTGAAACTACTGCCCTAGATAATCTTTAAACCTGAAACTTTAAACCTAAAATATCCCCTGAAGTCTTCTTTAAACCAAATAACAGTTTAGCTTCATGAGTAAATGAATGTCTGCCTTGAGCATTGTGGACTTTCAAAGAACTATCCATATGGAATCGAATTGACAACAGCAACTTGGAAGGTCAGATAGGAAGTGTAGGGGAAAGTGAGTTTATGCCAATAGGAGAGGAACAAGTCAGAAAGTGAGGGCGAGAACGGCTGTGCCATTTGAAGAATGTAATCAGTGTCACTGAATTGTACATGTAGACATTGTATACATGTGTACTTTTAAATAACAACAATAATAATAAAGAATTCCACAGTTTGTGGGAAACTAACTATTCTAGGACTGTGACTGTCTTAGTAATGGTCACTTCCTGCAGGATGGGCAGCCCAGATAGGACAGACGCTGGGAGTGAGCATTCTTAAAGAGCTTGCAGTAAGTGTTGCTGTTGTTACATGCCATGGAGCGGGACCCAACTCATAGCGACCCCTCCTTGGGTTTCTGAGGCGATATCACTACAGAAGTAGATTGCCCAACCTTTCTTCCGAGGAGCGGCTGGCTGGTGGGTTTGAACCGCCAGCCTTCTGGTTAGCAGTCAAGTGCCTTAGGCACTATGTTACCAGAGCTCCTTTGCAGTAAGTAGTTCCTCCTATCTCGCCAGCTCAGGACCCATCTCGGATGGCATGTTAGGGTGTGGGATGTTATGGGGCCTGACTTGAATCCATTTCCATTAACAGAAAGAGAAACCACTGGATCATGTCAAAATGTGTCTATTAGCAACAACAGGTCTCTGGGATGGGGCTCCCAGATGCTTGAGCCACTGTGACGTGGCATGGCAGTCGAGAACCCCAGGTCGAGGCCTGTGCCCCTCCTTCCCTTGCTGATGGCCCTGTTCCCTGCAACAGCCCTGGCCTGGACAGGGAAACAGCAACATCTCCGGCCCCTGGGGCAGCAGAGCTGGCCTGACTCTGGGGATATTCCAACCTGTGTGAGGTCACTGCCTGGGCCCACGGTGGATCAGAAGGAGGCTGGCATTGGGTGGCAGCTTCCACTGCTGTCCTCACTAAATCATTCCCTGAGGTGAGGGTCCAGGGACCCCATAATCAACTCTTCATGGCTACTGCCTGGGCTGTAGTGGCTTTCCAGAGGGGGTCACTTGATCTGGGCCCGAAATCTTGGGCCCCCCAGACAGCTGGGCAGGCTGCCCCACCCTGCACTGTGGCAAATTGCAAAGTTGACTTTTCTGCTGAGAGAGCTTTTTAATACATAAATCAGACCTTGACAGTCCCTTGCTTAAAATCCTCTAATGGCTTTCCAGTGCACTCAGAATAAAATCCAAGCCCTCTCTGCATGCCCTGGCCCCTGCCCAGCTCACTGACCTTGTCCCCTAACACATCCCCCTGCTCTGTTTTCTATCTGCTCCTCCAGTGCTGCTCCAAGCTGGTTCCTCCTCTGTGTTTTACACATGCTATCCCTCTGCTTAGAAGACCCTTCCCTCAACTCGCGAATGGCTGTTTCCTTCTCATTGTTCTTTTGGATCTCAGCTCAAATGCCACCTTTCCTCATGACCCAGGCTAGGATCACCTTACCTCTACCCCTGCCAATTTCTCTCACTTGGTCTATTTCACTTCAGTTGTGCTACTTATTCAAATGTCTCCCTCACTAAACCATCAACTCCTTAAGGGTAGGACACACATATCTTGTTCACTGAGATGACCCCCAATGGAGGACAGCACCTGACAAGGACATTAGTGATAGTGGTGGTAGAATTCCTACCCTCCATGCTAAGACCCAGTTTGGTTCCTGGCCAATGTGCCTCAAATACAGCCACCACTCCTCCCTCAGTGAAGGCTTGTGTTTTGTTGTGATCCTGAACAGGTTTCATCAGAGCTTCCAGACTAAGACTAGGAAGAAAGGCCTGGCAGTCTACTTCTGTAAAATCAGCCAAGGAAAATCCTATGGATCACAATAGGCCAATCCTGCTGTACATGGGGTTGCTGTGAGTTGAGACAGCTAACAACAATAGCAACAACGACAGCAACAATAACAAGACTATAGTACCTGGCACAGAGGGAGCTCAACACATATCTAGAAAGAATGAGACAGAGCAGGCTGCTTTGAGGAGTAACTCTATGGCAGAAGCACATCCCTGCACAGCTGGGGCCCAGGATGCCCTGTTACCATCAAGAGAACAAAGGGTCTGCTCCTTGAGGGAGCCCACAGTATCTTCAGGGAGTCTTTAGAAGTTGGAGGCAATTCTCAGCTCCAGAAAGTCTGAGATGGTCAGAACACACCTGGGGTGGTGCTTGCCTCAGATATCATGGAGGTGTTGTGACTCCAGAAAAGAGGTATCTCAAAAACCCATCCTCCCCTGGGTCATCAGGAAGAAGGGCTTCTGGGCTCCACATAAATCAGAAGGAGGCTGGCATTTGGTGGCATGTCACTACAAACTCCTTTGAGGAGAGATATATCTTGACTTCACAGGACAACAGTGTTTCCCAGTTACTATTACTAAAAGGAGTCCTTGTGTGGTACTAATGGCTGATAGGCTCAGCTGCTAACCAAAAGGTTGGGGGTGTGAGTTCACCCAGAGGTGGCTCAGAAGAAAGGCCTGGTGATCTACAAAAAAAGAAAAAAAGAAAAAAAAAAAAAAACCCCGCAGCCATTGGACACTCTACGGAGCACAGTTCTACTCTGATGCGCAAGTGGTCGCCATGAGTCAAAATCAAAACTGACAGTTCCTAAGAGCCCCTCTCCTGGTTTTCTCCAGTCACCTCAACCTCCAGGGGCCATGGCTTCTAAAGGAGGGTACTGAGTGGGAGTGGGTGGCTTTAGAGGACGGTGCTGGGCCCCACTGAGCATTGAATGGATTGGAACTGCCAAAGGGCTGGGCTTGGGCCACTCACTCTCCACGTAGAACACGCCCACTTTGTCTGAGTCCGACATGGAAATGTAGAGCACGATCTGGTACCCGGGTGGGAGGCGGTCAGGGCCTTTGGTCCGCAGGACCATCTGGGACATGTCCTTGAGGTCTGCGGGGCAGAAGCACTGGGAGATTAGAATGAGAGACCTGCTGTGGGAGTACTGCCACACAGATGCCTTTTACTTTTATAATCAGGAAAAACAAAACCCTGATACATGTGTATTGTATAAACAACAGAAAAGCAAAAAAGGAGGAAAAAACCAGACCTCATCTCCAGCACCAGAGACAACCCCCTATTGAGCTTTTTGGGAATTTCCTTCCAGTCTTTTTTCTATATACGTGCGTAATTTTTTTTTTTTAAAAGCTAGTTGCAATGGAACTGTATTTACAGTTTCATCTTCTGCTTTTAGTGAGTGGATATTTGAGTCCACTATACCCAGGAGACCCAAGTCCACACCTGCTTCACCCCCAGCAGCCCAGGACTTGACGTGAGTATTTCCACAGTTCCTCTCTCCCTCTCCCTCCCCCTCACACCTCTCTCCCTCCCACCATGCGGGTCTTGCTGGCACCTTCCTTGCTGTAGACCTTCTCATCACTGCAGTCCTCCTTGGGCAGCCAGGGCGTGTCTCGGTCACAGTTCACCAGCAGGATGGCCCCCTGGCCCTCAGGACCCCAGGTCCAGGATGCCTGTGGGGGTGGGGAGAGAGGTCAGTGCCATCTTCTCTACCTTCTGGCAGAGAGTCCCAGCCCCAGTGCAGACCCCGCAGGACACAGAGAGACAGCTCCAGGATAAGACGAGAAAGCAGCCGCCACTTACTGAGGCAGCTGTGACCTGGCAACTGTGAGTCCTAACACTGATGCCCAGAGAGGATCAATGCGAGAGTCAGAGGCAAGTTCGCGAGGTGGACGTGGCAGAGAGAGCTGACTGGGCATTAGTGAGCCTCATGTCGGGTGGAGGGAATGGGCAGGGTGGTAGAGAGCAGCCAGAGAAACCAGAAGACAGACATCCTAGACAGGCTGTCTACTGGTCTAAGGTCCCTAGAGGGGCCAGGGGGAGATACTTGGATGGATAGACACCTCTCTCTTTACAGACATATTTCAAGTTTCTACACTGCAGCCAGAGTGGTGCTAGAACAAACTCCTCCAGATCATGTTATTCCTGCTTTACGACCTGTCAGGGCACCCTGTTGATTTAGGATTAAGCCCCAAATCCTCATGTGGCTTGCAAAGCCCTTTGAGACGTGCCGACCTCTCCATCACTTCCTCTCTACCTTCCCCCTTGCTTGCCCTACTTCCTCCCTCCAAACTCTTGGGTCTTTGCCCATGCTGGCCTCTCTGCCCAGAACACTGTCCCACCTGCCTTCGCTTGGCCAACTCTACTCCTTCCTGTCTCAGGCAATCCATTAGTCCCTTGCTCCAGGAAGACCTTCTGATTCTCCAGACCAGAGCAGCTTCCCTGGGCTTATATCTCTAGCAATGTATATATCTTTCGTTGGAGAAATTAGGACAATTGTGATGACACAGCCACAATGCCATTCTCTATTTAATGTTGGTCTCTACCACCAGACTGTGTGTTCCCTGAGGGCAGAGGCTGCAGGTCTCTTGTTCTTTCTGCATCTCTATGGCCTGATGCAGAACTGGAATATAAAAGATGATCAACAAATATGTATGGATGAGTGAAGAAAATATGACACTGTCATTGACCCAGGTGGAGAAATTCATGCCAAGTTCAAGGCCACAGGGCTTGGTGACTCCCAAAGTCATAGAGCCCTTGGGATGGATATAAGCCTTCTCCAGGGCTGTTGGACTCAAAGGCCTCCGTGTGGTTGGCTGTCATGGGCCTTGACTGAAGACTTAGAGAACATGTTTGCAGGGCTGACCAGGCTTTTTATGAGGGCAGCTGCCTTGGGAAGGGAGGGCTGAGGTGGCATCCCCCTGAAGAGCCCGAGTGCCCTCCCCCATGGATCCCACCACACCTGAGGCCTCCCTGTCCTACCTGCACAGAGTCTGGGTGGGTTGCTAGACCTCAAGCTTCCACTGGTTGTACTTATTTATTTTGAAAAGTATTAGTCTATCTATAACTTAATCTAGGGTTTTGGTTGTTATAAAAGTAACATATTCACACGGCAAACGTTTAAATGATACAGAGGGGCAGAAAATGGAAGAGTTAGAGCAACAACCCGGTGTACACAGAGCAAAACTGCTGCAGCTAAAAACTGGGTTGAGGTGTGTTGCGGGGAGCAAGAAGCAGAATGAGATTGAGAACACAATGCTAGCTGCACAAGTGAAAAATACACGTGCACCAACCACACCTCTTGTTTGGCAAGAATAAGAACAGAAAGAGACACATTAAACCCATTACAATGGTCATTTATGGGGGAGGAAAATGGGAGTAGGGAATGCAGGATAAAAGAAAGAATGAATGAATAAGCAAATGAATGAATCAATCAATCAATCAGGAGTAGGGCTGTGTACGAACCACTGAAGATAATGTGCCTTGAACAGCTGTGGATGGGGAAATGGAGACCAGAGGACCTGCTCAGGGACTATTGATTTGCTGTGTGTCTGGTAGCCTGTTTTGGGTCTCAGTTTGCTCATCTGGGAAATGGGTGTTCTCTGTGCTTGGTGGGAGGACCATACCACTTGCAGGATCCAGTTGGGGTTGTGCCCTTAGGAACCCTCCCTGCTCCCAGTTCAGGGCCACGTCTGCCCAGAGAGCTAGTTACCTTATTTGGGTTGTTCTTCTCCACCACGCCGTCCCGGTCAGCATCCACATCCAGGGAGATCTCTGGGGACAAGACACATGGGTGAGTTGTTGTATGGAACCTGCCAGATGGAGTGGGGCAGGGGTAAGAGGAAGGCATGTGCCATTAGGGGCAGCTCACCCATTTGCTTAGTCACTGGGAAGGAGGACCTTGCTGAGGTCATCCTTTCCTGCCCACTGCCTCAACACGCCCTCCTTCCCAGGGCAGACACTGTGTGTGACTTCACAGCTTACAAAGCACTGTCAGGTGCACCCTTCAGGGGCAGGTTAGTGCTCTCCCACCACCTCATTTCCTCAGTCAGGTCTACTTGATGGGTGGAATGATCCTGCATGGAGATTGGAGCCCTGCGTCAGAGAGGTAAAGCCATATGCCCAAGGTCACACAGGTGGCATTGGCAGAACTAGGGTACACTCCAGATGGTCCGACTTGAAGCCTGTATTTGAAAATATTCGGGCATAGGGTTCCATAAGTGCCTTTCCCAATCTAGGCATGTGCACATGTGTGCATATGTGCATTTGTGTGTGTGCCCATGTGTTTGTGTGTGTGCATGTCTCTCTTTCCCTCAGTACTCCCAGCTGTCTAAATTCCCCTTCCCTGGGTTAAGGGTTTTACTTGGGTCAGAAACTGCAGCTCCATCCTCTCTCAACCTAAGGGTGCCCATGAGACCAGGCCTCCAAGGAATGGACTCGGGATGGGGCCCTTGCTTCTTCTTTCTCTTGGGGAAAGGGACCTTTGGTATCCCTAGGCCTATCATGAGGACACGCTTCATTGAGACTGTGGGGCACAGTAGAAAGAGCTCACGTTTTAGCATCAGATAGTGCTGGGTTCAAACCCTGGCTCTCCATTTACCGGATGTGACTTTGGGTAGATTAGAGCCCTAGCTTCCTCACCTGTAAAATGGGGCCCTTTCTGGATACAGCAGTTGTGTTAACTACAAGAGTAGGCACTATTGCCATTGGCAATCAACAAAGACAATTTTCTGTTGTGGGCACTGTCCTGTGCATTGTGGGCTGTTCAGTGGCATCCCTTACCTCCACCTATTAGACACCAGTAGCATCCCCTACTTCATGCCAACTAAAAATGTCTCCAGACATTGCCAGATGTTCCTTGGGAAGCCCCCTGAGTTAGAGACTAACAGGGCAGGGCAGGGGGGTCACACAAGATGAGATGGCCTGGCTCCAGGCTCCAGGAGCTGCCCAAGTGGGCTTGCCCTCCTGCTGAGTATGACTTGGACTGTAGTGGGAGTTGGGTGAGGATGATTGCATTCCTGGTAAGTACCCTTGGCAGGTGCACCCTTGCCCTGATGGGTGGGGAGGAGGCTTCTGGCAGAGGAAGGGCACTAATGTCACCTTTGCCTGGGTGGCTCAGCCTGACTGGGACCAGGAATTACAGTCAGGTCCTCTCTTTGCCCACAGCCTGACTCCTTCCCAACCCTGAATATGGCTTCTCTGGGTCTAGAGGGAGGGAGGAGGGTGGAGGCTTTCAGGGTGCTTCACCCTTGGGAAAGGCAGCACTCCAGTGTCCCACCCTTCACAGCCCTCCTGTGAGTGAGCTGCTATAAGGCACACATTTATAAAATCCTCCCCTTACTTCCATTCACTTATCCTTTCACTCAACAAAGAATTGTTGAGCATCGACTATGTTCCAGGCACTGTACTGGGCACTGGGGATCAACTACTGGGCAATGGAGGTGCAGTGCCTGCTCACTGGGAGTCTCCAATTCTATGAGATAAATATTGTGCCCATTTTACAGGTGAGCAAATCCAGGTTCAGAGAAGTCATGTGTTGGCAAATTGTGCTGATAATCTGGGAGGCTGGCATAAGGTTAGGATTCTATAGAAAAAGAAGGGAAGGGGGTTCCACTGTCTGCTGTTAAAGAAACTGAGGGCCCAGATTGGCGAACAATATTGGTTTTGGCTCCCAAGCCCTTCGTGAACTTTCCAGTTCGACACACCCCAGTGAATGCTGCCTTTCAGGGAGGTCAGCTTCCCTAAGCCCCACCCTGGGAACTAGCTGCAGTCCCAGCCATGTTAACAGTCCCTCTCTTTGCTTATCAAGGTAAAACCTTTCCCGTGAGGACAGTTCACTCTGCTAGGTCATGCATGTTCCGTGGCATGATATGGAATTCTCCTCTCCCCCACTATGGGAATGGGGAGACATCATCTCTCCCCTCAACTCTGCAGCTGACCCAGCAGCCAAGGGACCACAAAGTCCCCAGAGGGTGGAGAGCAGGTATCCCACTCCAGTCTGGGATCTAGACCCTTCTCTTCTCTGCTCTCTTTACTGATCCAGGCTAACCCCCCGGGTGACTAAGGCTAACCTCCAGCTCACATAAGCTGACCCTCAGATGACCTCTAGCTGACCCAGGCTGACCTCTGGCCTGGGTTCTGTTTCCAAATGCCAAGCCTGTCTTCAAAGACCCAAGTCTCGCTCCCTGGAGGCCATTTCCAGAGAAGCCTGGCCACATCCTCACCGTAGCAGCCCTGCAGGCTTTGTCTCTGGCTTGCAAGGTGACCCCCTGTGAAGGGGCACCAAGGTCCCTGTGGCATGTCCATTAAAGCAACATATTACAGGAGAGATGTTATGAGTCACTTTAGTACTTCATTTCATTATGAATTTCTTAAAGTTCATCATGTATTATTTGCACACATAAAAAAGTCAAATAGCACCAAAAGGTTTCTAAGAAAAACAGCTGTTCCCTGTTCAGCCCTTCTCCTAACCTGCCTGAGGCAATCTCCCTGAAACTAAGTAATATGCTTATTGCTATTTCTTGATATATTAATTTTAGACATTTTAACTGACTATCTATTATAAAATTTGGGTATTTCATAATTTGGTTCCATTATCACCCACTTCCCACCCTCCCCCTTCTGCTGACCCCGTGTCTCCTCTTCATAGTTAACTACCCTCTTTCAAGCTACAAGCTATCCTTGTAGGACTTCTGCTCCCCTTCAAGCCTGCCCCAAGGTCTGATTTAGCTAGATCCCAAGGGGTGATCTGTGCAAGGTAAGAGAATGAGATTGGTATGACCTGACCTGCCCTCTTGGGACACCTCAGCCTTCCCCAGGGGGAGAGGGGGAAGGTGTCTGTTTCAGGGCTTCTGGGCTCCACACAACATTCCGCAGAGGCTCTGGATCTTACTTCAGCTCTCTGTTATAGCCCCAAGGTGTCAGGTGGCGCCTGGGGTGTAGGGCATATTAACGGGAAATGTCACTGGGATTGGGTTCAAAGCAGTCTGCCCTGAGAAGCAAGGCACCAGGCATTTTGGCAAGCCACTGGTTCTCGTGGAGAGTGGCCAGATACCCAGCCTTTTTGCCTTGCCTGGCAGCTTGGGGTGGTGAGGAGGAAGGAGACCCCCCCCTTTCCCCAACCAACTGGGACAATTACCTAAGCTCTGGGGAGAGGGCACAGGAATGAGCTCCTTAGGTTGATGCTAAACATTCTCAAGGTTCCGTGTATATATACTGCTCCCATGGTCAGGACCACAGCAAAGAGGGTGGGACCATTCCTCCTTCCCCACATCCCTTCTTTCCACTTCTCTCTTTAACAGGGAAAAACTAAAACACCAAACCAGTTGCCATTAAGTCAGTTCCAACTCATGGAGAACCCATGTGTGTCAGAGTATAACTGTGCTCCATAGGGTTTTTATGGCTGTCATCTTTCAGAAGTTGACTGGCAGGTCTTTCTTCTGAGGTGCCTCTGGATAGACTCAAACCTCCAAATTTTCAGTTAGGAGTCAAGCATGTTAACCATCTGGGCCACTTCGGGACTCCTCTTAACAGAAAAGGCTTTGTAAAGCAAGCCTAATCAAATCTTGGAGCCTGGAAGGTCCTCAGGGACCAATTAGCTCAATTGCTTTATAGCTGGGAAAACTGAAGCCTAAAGGGGTGAGTTACTGGTCAAAGTCACACAGCAAGTTTGTAGCAAGACTGAAAGGGCCTGATTTGAGTGAAGGCACCATAGGTTCGTTCCCAAATCCCAGGAGGAAGACTGTGTGACAGTAAGGCTCTTCAACTTCAGAGGGAAAATGTGGCAGCCCAAGAGGAAGGGAGAAAGGAGAGCATGGATTGAGCACCTACTCTGTGCCAGGCCCTTTGCACACACCACTGAATCTTCAACATCACTGTGCAAGGGTGCACTGTGAGCCCTGTTTTGCAGATGAGGAAACTGAGGCTCAGTAGGTGGCAAGACTGGCCCGTGGTCACAATGTGGTGGCAAGGAGCAGAGCCAGAGCTCAGACTTATTTGTGTTCCTGCTGAAGCCAGGCTTCTTTTCACTCCTGTGGGCTCAGGATGGAAGCAAGGCGAGATGGATTGAGATACGTCCTGGGGGGCAGCCCCAATGTCTCAGGACTTTTGGGGTATCCTTGACTCTGAGGTATTACCCTCAGATGATTAGTCAGGATTTGGAGTACCAGGGCTCCTGTGTAGACCTCTGAGGGAAGGCAAGCTCTGGAGAGGTCAGCTTGACCAATGGTTCCCAAGTGCAGCCAAATTTGCATCACGGTCCCCAGGGGAACAGGAAATATAAACTCAATGGAGAGAGTTTTTCATAAAGCTTCATTTAAGCTGTGTAAATGCCTATTTTTTATTCTGAGATTAAGCCCTGCCTACTTTTTAGTATTAAAATGATCTTTTTCATGAGATGATAAATATAGCTAATGGCAAATTAAAAAAAAAAATTTTTATTGTGATTTGGGTGCAAATTTACAAAGTAGATTCATTTTACTCTCAGCAGTTTATGTACATTTGGTTTCATGGCCCTATTACAATCCCAACACTAAAAAGCTCTCCTTCCTCTCCTCCCTGTGACTAGCCCTTCCCTGTGGCCTCCTTATCTATGCATTCCTGTCTGCCCAGGTTTCCCTCTATGTGAATGCTGCCCTTCTGATGTTTCATGCCTCATTGAGCTAAAGGGTGCATCTCTCTAGGGTATGTGGGTGCATATCCTTGGAATAGGTGTTCTGCTTGTAGGCCTTTCTACTGTTTGACTGAGAGGTAATCCATGGAAGTGAATCCAGTTCCAGGCCCAAAGGGTAACCCGGGCTATAGTCTTGGGGGTTCCACCAGTCTCTGTTAATGGCAAATTGTTTTATTGCCTTTTTTTTTGCTAAGCTTAAAAGTCTTTAGTTTATGGCAACCCTGTGATTTTTTTCAGGGGGATGGAATTTTACAGGCCTGTGGAATCTAAATATCTGGGAGCTTGTGACAGTTAAGTAACTAAATGGTAAATGGAGGTATAAGAAGCCTTGGTGGCACAGTGGTTAAGTGCTAGCTGCTGACTGAAAGGTCTGTGGTTTGAATCCACCCAACGGCTCCTGGTGAGATAGACCTCGTGATTAGCTCCCATAAAGGCTTTGCTGACCCCAACTCATATGACCTATAGGGGGCTCCCCACAAAGGTTATATTTGTTACTGTAGACCCTGCTGGACAGTGTAGTATTGCTCCATAGAGTTTCCAAGGCTGCAAATCTTTATGAAAGCATACTGCTGCATGTTTTTCCTGCAGAGTATTTGGCGAGTTCGAACTGCAGACCTTTCGGTAAGCAGTCGAGCACTTAAACCCTGCACTACTAGGGATCCTGTAAAAATTGCAGCCTGGAAAACAAAACACTATGGGGCAGTTCTACTCTGTCATATGAGGTCACTAAGAGTCAAAAATGACTCGATGGCACCTGACAACAACAACTGGAGGTGCAACCTCAGTACCTCAGAGGGATTAGCTCAGTCATTCCTCACAAGCAGATCTGAAATCTGCTGGAGCTCAGCCCAGCTGTTCCTTCTGAGCATAAGCTTTGAAGCCTCTGGTGGAGGGGAGTCCAGGTCTGCCTCCTTACAGGGCATTCCCTGGGACCACAGATATTGAGGTCCAGGAAGTTTATTCTGCTATCTGTCCGAAGCATGTTTTGCCTTAGTGAAAGCCTCATTAATGGCTTGTTCACTTTTGTTCCACAGGCCTCTGGCCACTGTCCCTTCTGCCTTTGTCCTCAGGTGTCACCTGCTGTGCTGTGCCTGTGGGTTTAGGTTTTCTTGGGGACAGTCACCTGAGACAACCTGGGGGCTGTGGGCACAGGAGAGGTTCACAAACATGATGGGGGCCAGCCACAACCCAGGAGGCTCTGTTACCATCTCCCAGGGTCCCTCAAGATTGTTCTGAGGCTCCCTACCTCTAAGACTGGGCACCCCCTCCATGCAGACAGAGGGACAGGGGGACCAGCAACCAAGCCAGTTTGAAATTTTCTGAGGAGTGGAAGAGCACTGCTATTGAACCTATTTCAGCAGCAAAGAGGGAAGGGCTGGGGAAGGAGGGGCTGGTGTGGGAGTTTGCTGCTTTGTTAAGTGGGAGTTAAGACCCCTGGGGTATGTGAATAACTGAGCCAACTGAGCAGGCTTGAGGTCCAAACAATTGCTTTCCAGTTGTGTGGCCTCATACAAGTTGTTATTTGTTTGTTTTACTTTTTCTGAGCCTATTTTTTCTCATCTGTAAAATGGAGATAAAATAGTGCGTTTCCTTGGAATGTTGAAGTCTTTGAGTGGTGCAAACAGTTAAGCCTCTGACTATTAACCAGAAGGTTGGGGGTTCAAGTCCACCCTGACAAGCCTCAGAAGAAAGGCCTGGTAATCTACTTCTGAAAAATCAGCCGTTGAAAACTCTATGGCATACAGTTCTACTCTGATACGCATAGGGTCACTATGAATTGTAACTGACTTGATGGCAGCTAGTTTTTTTTTTTTTTTTCTTTTAAATCCTTGGAGTAGTTGTAAAAATATATTGAGATCACACTGTCAGTGCTCAATAAATGTTAGGTATTTATCATCATCATCATATCACTGTCATCGTCATCCTCAAAGCACCCTGCATAGTCCTGGACACAGAGTAGGCAGGCGTTCAGTAAATTGGACCCCTCTCCCCACACAAAAAACAAAAACAAAAACAAATAAAACCCAAACTCACAGCCATCGAGTTGGATCCAATTCATAGTGAGCCCTCTTTGAGTTTCTGAGGTGGTATCACTACGGAAGTAGATTGCTCAGCCTTCCTTCTGAGGAGTGGCTGGTGGGTTTGAACCACCAGCCTCCTGGTTAGCAGTCAAATGCCATAGGCACTCTGCCACCAGAGCTCCCAGTAAAATGGACGTATCACTATTATTTTTAAAGCTCTTGGCACATAGTAGGTTTCCAGTTATTGGTAGTTCCCTCTTATTGCCATGTGCCAGCTGTGTTAATGTTAAACCAAAAATGGATAGGAAAAATGACCGTCTCGAATTTCCTTTTGGCTTCAACATTCTATAATTTATTATTATTTTTTCAAAAAAATTATGAACGTAACACCTCAACTGCAGAAGAGTCTGACTGAAGTTTCAGAAGACCACATGTCTGGACCCTGCTACCCAGGCTGGGCTCCACCTCTCCACCCCTCTCCCCACTCCCAGGCAGGCCTGGCCCCAGGGCAGGGCAGAATGGTGCAATGGAAAAATCCTGAAAGGGGAATAATCCTGAGCTTTGGACCCAACCTACCACTGAGTTGCTATGTGACTTTGAATGAGTTCCCTACATTCTATGGGCCTCACTGCCCTCATGGATCAAAGGAAAGGCTTGTACTAGGTGAGTTAGTGACCTATGCACCTGGGACTGGATCTCAGGGAAGGCAAGGGAATAGCTGGGACTATCAAGGTCAATAGCAGGCTTTATAGAAAGGGAGGCTGGGATAGGAGAGAGAGTTCCTTCTTTCTCCTCCACGGCCCACAGAGCCTCTGATGGTGACACTGATAGGGGGGTGAGTCACTAGCAGACCAGGAATGCCTCCTCTTTCAAGATGTCCTCCACCCCTAATACAGAGGGGCCCAGGTCCCAGCAGCATTTCTTCACAGGCCTGTATTACTCAGAAGAAGCCACCAGGTCTGCAGTGCTGAACACTTGCCTGGCCTGAGGTGAGAGGCCACTGGGAGGGTAAGCGGGGCATGCCCTGGGGGAATGAAGGCACCCAGACCAAGTCACACGAACTCACCAATAGCTGTGAGGAAGAGCCCAGCCTGGTCGATGGGAGTGCTCCCCTCCTGCTCATAGTAGTTGACGGTGACCTTGGTTGAGACGGGGCATATTGGGAGGGAGAGAAGAGCAGAGATTACAGATCATAGACAGGGACACCTGCAGTAACCCCAGCTCATATCTCACAGTCTGTCAAACTAACCCTCTCTGGATATTCCAACCATTTCCTCCAGGAAACTCTCCTGGGTTGGTGGGCTGCTGCTTCCAGAGCACTAAACTGGCCAGTGGACTGACTCCCCTCCTCTCAGAGAGCATGTAGGTGCTATCTGCCTACCTGTGCCTACTGTGGGGCTCCCACTTCTGCCATGTTTTATGTCTAAGATAAGCTCCCAGAGGGTGGGGCTGACCTTGCTTTGTACAATGCCCAGGCCATTACTGCAATGGGACACTTGGTAAAGGGACTGTGCATAATTAGAGAACTCAATGAGGAGATAGTTCTGGTCCTAGCTTTGCCATGAATTCACCATGTGGCCGTGGGAAAATCATTTCACCCCATGAGTCCTTGTTGTTGTTAGTGGCCATCAAACTTGTCCCCAAATCATGGTGACCCAATACACAATAGAACGAAACACTGCTTGGTCTTTCATCATCCCCATGATTGGTTACAGAAGGAACTGCTGGGATCTGTAAGGTTTATATTGACTGATTTTTCAGAAGTAGATCACAAGGCCTTTCTTCATAATCCGTCTGAGTCTGGAAGCTTTGTTGAAACCTGGTCAGGCTCATAGCAACACATAAGCCACCACTGACAGACGGGTGGTGGTCATACATGAGATACATTGGCCAGGAATTGAACCTGGGTCCCCTGCATGGAAGGCACAAATCCTACTACTAAACCACCACTGTTCCCTTGTGGGACTGCAGCACCCTATTTCACAGATGATGAAACCAAGGACCTTGTAGTTGTAATGTCCAAGGATTCTAAAATTCTATGGTTCTGAGCATCTAAACTTTCCATCAGTCAATGGTCCGCAAGGAGCTCTGGTAGTGTAGTGCCTAAGGTACGTGACTGCTACCCAGAAGGCTGGTGGTTCAAACCCACCAGCCACTCCTCGGAAGGAAGGTTGGGCAATCCTACTTCCAAAGTGATACTGTCTTGGAAACCCAAGGAAGGGTCGCTATGAGTTGGGTCTGACTCGATGGCAAATAACAACAACAACACAACATGAAGCCATTGGGAATTCTAGAACACTTAACTGTGCCCATGCATAACCTGTACATAGACAAAAAGGCAGTCGTTCAAACAGAACAAGGGGATACCGAATGGTTTAAAGTCAGGAAAGGTGTGTGCCAGGGTTGTATCCTTTTACCATACTTACTCAATCTATGCTGAGCAAGTAATCTAAGAAAGTGGACTACATGAAGAAGATTGTGGCATCAGGATTGGAGGAAGACTCACTAACAGCCTTTGATATGCAGATTACATGACCTTGCTTGCTGAAAGTGAAGAGGACTTGAAGCACTTACTGATGAAGATCAAAGGTTATAGCTTTCAGTATGGATTACACCTCAACATAAAGAAAACAAAAATCTTCACAACTGGACCAATAAGCAATATCATGATAAAAGGAGAAAAGATCAAAGTTGCTAAGGATTTTATTTAACTTGGCTCTACAATCAACGCCCATAGAAGCAGTAGTCAGGAAATCAGATGATGTATCACACAGGGCAAATCTGCAAAAGACCTGCTTACAGTGTTAAAAAGCAAAGATGTCATCTTGAGGACTAAGGGGCACATAACCCAAACCACAGTATTTTCAATTGCCTTGTATGCATGTGAAAACTGAACAAACTGAACAATGAATAAGGAAGACTGGAAAATTGATGCCTTTGCCTTAGTTGGCAAAGAATATTGAATATTCCATGGACTGCCAGAAGAATGAACAAATCTGTCCAGGAAGAAGCACAGCCGGAATGCTCCTTGGAAGTGAAGATGGTGAGACTTTGCCTCACATACTTTGGACTAGTCCCTGGAAAAGGACATCATGTTGTTAAAACAGAGGGTCAGTGAAAAAGAGGAAGACTCTCAATGAGATGGACTGACCCAGTGGCTGTAACAACGGGCTCAAACATAGCCACCACTGTGAGGATAGCACAGGACTGGGCAGTGTTTTGCATAAGGTCGCCATGAGTTGGCACAGACTCAACGGCACTGAACATGAAGCCATTGTCCATAGGGTAACACCGTGCTGTCCAGTACAGTAGCCACTAGCCCTGTGTGGCTATTAAAACATGGCTTTTAAAACTTACAACGTGTAAGCCTGAATTGGAATATATAAAACACACACTGGATTTAAAAGACTCGATATGAATAATGTAAACTATCTTGTTAATATTTTTTATATTGATAGTATGTTGAAATGACATTCTGATACATGGAGTTAAGGAAAATACATTATTGACAGTAATTTCTCTAGACAATGAAAGAGACCAGTCCCTGCAGAAGGATATCACGATTGGTAAAACAGGTATCAGTGCAAAAGAGGAAGACCTTCAATGAGAGGGACTGACATAGCGGCTGCAACAATGAGCTCAGGTATAGCAGGTTGTGAGGCTGGTGCAGGACCAGGCGGCGTTCTGTTCTGTTGTACATAGGGTCACTAGGAGTGGGAGCCAACTAGGAGGCACCTAACAACAACAATAACAGACAATGAAAAATGATGTATACGGCTCACATTCTGTTTCTGTTGGGAGTGCTGGTGTAGCCTGTCTCAACTCCGGCATGGCTGCCAGTCCCCTGCAGCCCACGGAGGGCAGGCTTCCCCACCCCTTGGTACCTTGTAGCTACTGGCTTCAGTGCTCGCCTGGTTCATGGTGAGCCGCAGTGTGGTGGTGGGTGAGAGAAGCCAGCGCTGTTTGCCATTGGTGGCCACCTCTTCGGCTTGTCCATCACGCACCACCTCCACCCGCACCTGCTCCGAGTGCTTCAGGCTGAAGGTCTGGGCTCCAGCTGGAGCCGCACTGTAGGGACAGAGAAGAGAGGGTCACAGGGAGCCCTGGGGTAGGTAGGGCAAAGGGTTCAGGGAGGAGGTTCCTGGAGGGGCAATGCGATAAACCTTCCCAGGTCATCTGATCTGGGAGCCCCCAAAGAAACCAAACCAGATGCACTGCCATTACCTGGTGAGGAGAGGGAAATGCAGATTCCCAGGGCCAGTCTTGTACATTGTGAGTCAGAATGTTTGAGGGTAGGGCCTGGGGATCTGAATTCTTAACAAGGTTCCTCCTTATTTCAGTGAAACTACACACAACAAAACATATGCCAGTTCAACAATTTCTACATGTATAATTCATAGACATTGACTACATTCTTCAAGTTGTACAACCATTCTTGCTATCCTTTTTCCAAATTATCCAACCACCATCAATATACACTCACTGACCTCTAGACAAAACTCTCCCTTTTCTCCTCCCTCCCATCCCTGGTAACTACTAATAATCTTTGGTTTCTATATATTTGCTTATTGTATATAAGAGAGATCATACACTATTTGCCATTTTATAACTGATGCACTATTGTTTTTTAATATTTGAAATATCAAACTGTCCAGATCCATCTATGTTGTGTTATGCCTCAGGACTCCACAGTTCTTTAAGACTGAGTAATATTCCACTGTATGCATTCCATGTACTTCTAACGGGCAGCCAGCTTTGGGAGTCCCATGCCAGAAAGTACTGCAAGGAAGAGTGGGTGACTGAGGCCCAGAAATAGGAATGAATTTGCCACAAAGACAGAACTGGGCCTCTAATCTTGTCTTCCAACCCCTGTCCAGTGTTGCTGAGCTGGAGGCCAGGAGAACAAGGACAGAGGTGGGGAGGGCTGGCATCAAAGTACTGGGTTCTCACAGGGCTGGAGACTTACAGGGGTAGGGATAGAAGGCTTTGTCCTAAGATCCCCTCCCTCCAGCTTCCTTGGCCTGGAATTTCCCACCTTTAGAGAGTCATTCCTTGGGAATCAAGGGTGGTTTCCCACTGAAAGGCAAATACTTCTAATATTCTTGAAAAGCCAGCAAGACTTAGAGCGGAACTAACTGGTGCATTCAGCTTTAGGGGAGATAACAGGAAGGAGGGAGCCAGCAAGACTTAGAGCAGAACTAACTGGTGCATTCAGCTTTAGGGGAGATAACAGGAAGGAGGGAGAGGAGAAGGGTAAGGTGCCCAGAGCTAACACTTCTCCTAAACCCCACCTCTAAAGAGCCCTAGAGGCCAAAGAGGCTCAGAGGGATTTAGGTGGGATGCTTATGGCACAGGCTGCTATTCTGAGGGCCTGGTGCCTTCTGAAGGAGCTCTGGTGGCATGGTGCCTAAGGCATTTGACTGCTAACCAGAAGGTTGGCAGTTCAAACCCACCAGCCACTCTGTGGAAGGAAGACTGGGCAGTCTACTTCTTTAAAGATTTACTACCTCAGAAACCCAAAGAGGGTTGTTGCTATGAGTCAGAATCCACTTGATGGCAGTGAGGTTTTTTTGGGTGCCTTCTGGATCCCAGAGTAGTTCTCAACTGTGGTTGGGTATCAGAATGGTCTGGGGTGATGCTTAAATCTTCAGGTTTTTTTTTTTTTTTTTTTTTTTATAAGGCTACAGATTTGTGGATCCTATACCCAGAGAGTCTGGCTAACATGACTGGGGTGGGCTGCGGCAGCTCCAGATGGAAACAGTGGTCAGGGTTGAATAAGAGGTTTAGACCATGGATCTCCCAGGTTAGCAGCATCAGCATCACCTAGGGGACTTCTTAAAACACAGCCTGCTTGGCTGTTTGAATCTACCCAGAGGTGCCTTGCAAGAAAGGCCTGGTGATCTACTTCAGAAAAATCAGACACTGAAAGCCTGAAGGAGCACTGTTCTCTCTGACACACATGAAGTCACCATGAGTTGGAATCAACTTTATGGCAATTTTTTTTTTTTTTTTTGTACCCCACCTCAGATTCTGGGGGCGGGGATAATAATTTACATTCCTAACATGTTTGGAGTCACTGTTGATGCTATGGCTACAAGGGCCACACTTTGAGAACCAATGGTGTTGACATTCAGCAATGTTATATGGTAGTTAGAGCCCTAGAGTGGCCCAGGCCGTGAGTGTGAGTCTGTAGAGGCCACCAGGCAGGGAGGGTGTCTCTGGACCAGGCCACAGGCTGTAAGGACTCCTGGCAAAGACCACTGGTCACAGGGACTGGCAGGAAAGAGTGGGCAGGGGTCCAGGCAGCTCCTGCCCAATGTTGGGAAAGGAGCTCAAAAAAGAACAGCCACTCTATTTTTTGTCTCTCTGCCACCTCTCATGTTTGCCACTCTGTCACGGGGATGCTGGGTCCCAGGACAGTGAAAGATGGTAAAAGGTGGATGCCTCTCTCTACACTTATGCCCCTATTGGACATGAGCTGATGGGAAGCTGGATACTCGTTGGCTGGGGCCTTCTGCCTTCTGTCCACACCCATCAACAGGAGGAGCACAGAGTCTGGGCAAAACTCCTAGATTGGGGATATATGTGCAGAAGATCTGGGTTCAAGCCTGATTTTGCAGAAAGGGTCTTGAATGAGTCTCTTGCCCCTTCTAAGTGTCCACTTGCCCTTCCTGTCCACACAGCCCTTGTTCCTTATCCCTCACAGGGCAGGGGCCATATCCTGTCTTATGATGCTGATAAGTGTTACCTTCTTCCTCTGGAGTATAAACCTCTTGAAGGCAGGGCCTAAGGTCTCTGGGTGGCACAAGCTGTTTCTGATGGGCTTCTAACATAAAGGCTAGCAATTTGGACCCACCCAGCAGTCCCACAGAAGAAAGGCATAGTGATTCGCTTCCATAAAGATGACAGCCAAGAAAACCCTATCACCGTTCTACTCTGTGACACACGGGTTGCCATGAGTTGGAATTGACTTAATGGCAACAGGTTTGGTTCTTTGGCTTTCTTTGAGGGTATGTCCTCCCATCCCCCATCCTTCACATAATCTAGCACAGGGAGCCTATCCCCCCCCCCCACCTCTCTTGGCAACAGACTGTGGAATTGAGCCCAATAGGACAGCCTTTCAGAGTACCCAGCCAGTATTTCCCAAAGGGAGATGTGGGTACCACTGGGGCACTAAGATGCTTTTAGGTGGCAAATAGATGAACATTTTAAAAGACTTATTTGGACTCAAGGCACCCCTATGTGTGTCAGAGTAGAACTGTGTTCCACAGGGTTGTCATTGACTGATTGTCGGAAGTACACCACCAGGCCTTTCTCTCAAGGTCAGTGGTGCCCCTAGGGGGCTCGGGGTGCTGTGTGGACACCAAAATGACCTCAGGATCCACAGTGGAGGGCTGGCATGGAAGGGGCTGCCAACGCAGTGACATCAATAGACTTGCTGTCACCCATCATCCAGTGCAGTAACTCATCCCCCCATTCCCGACAGCCACCAGTCAGGAGACCAGTCATTGGATGGAAAGGAAGTTATCTGCGTTGGCCAATGGGAGAGAGGAGGAGCCAGGTGGTGGGGTACATAGGGCTGGGAGGGGTGGGGCTGCACAGCACTGTGTTTGGCCCTGTTGGGGAGGAGAGGTGCAGGTTCTCCACCTACCAGAGGGGGGTTTGGGCAGCTCTGCCCACGAGTGTGTGTGTGTGTGTGTGTGTGTGTGTGTGTGTGAGAAACACCCAGAGTTACCGTACTGGGTGATACCAGACCTAGTGACTCCATTGTTGGATGTGCATCTGGGTGGACTGCACCATTTCCAATAACAGCTGAGAGTGTTAACTATTTGTAACATCCAGGGACTCCAAAAAATTTATATATTTATTAATGCATTATCTCTTTATGACAACTTTATGGATTTCTATTCACTGTTAAAAGTAAAGTTTTTCAGAAAAATGTGTGTTGGTTTAAAGTAGCATTTTAAGTTCTCGTCCTACAGGTGGAATGGGGTTTTGGCAAACATTGTGAGTCTGGAAAACTGTGGACTCAGGTTTGGGAAACACTCCCCAAATGCAAGTCCTAAAGTCCATCACCCAACTTTCTAGGTGCCCTTAGGCAAGGTGCTTCCTCTTTCTCAGTTCCATCAAATGTAAAACAAGAGGATGGGACCAGGTCAGAGGAGTCTGGGGAGTAGAGAAAGGGCACAGCCCAGATGCAGGAGTGTGGAGGGGGGAACTAAAACACTGGGATCTCTCTGCCAATCCCTGCTCCACTTTAACAAGTATCTCTGTTATTTCATTTGGTTGCTAGATTGGGTTTCTGCAAACAATTCTATTTTTTAAAAAAATGCTTTACCAACACATATGATCTCCTAAGAGCCAGATTCTGACAATCCCATCCCATTGCCATTGAGTCAATTCTGACTCGTAGTGACCCTATAGGACAGAGTAGAATTGCCCCCATGCGGTTTCCAAGGATGTCAGTCTTTACAGAAGCAGACTGCCTCATCTTTCTCCCACAGAGTGGCTGGTGGGTTTCAACCACCTACCTTTTGGTTAGCAGCTGAATGCTTTACTCCCAGTGCCACAACTCCTATTCTGACAATAGTTCTGTAAATGCTTCTTCCTGCCCGCCTTCATTCCTCTGGGCTACTGAGAAACTGGAGGTGGCCCCACAGGCCCAGGGGGTTCATGCCAAGGCCCGCTGGAACTCGAGATCCACACCTTCCCACTATGCTAAGTACCAGTCCCATCCATGCTGAGCAAACAGCTATTCTTGGTGCAAGGTTGGCAGAAGCAACAAAGGCATCCATTGTCCCCATGTGGGTCCTTTTGGCTGCCTCCCTTCCCAGGAAGAGTCTCTCAGAATCCCTTACAGAAACCAGAGAGCCAGGGCTGTGGAGGCAGTGGGAGGGACCCAGGACAGTATCAAGGGAGTATGTATGGCAGAGTGGGGGGGATGGTGGTGGTGGCTGTGTCATTCTTGCTTATTGGAAAGAGGCTAAAGACAAGCTGCCAGTCCATGGACCATGTCTACTATGCCCACCACTGTGTCCCAGCACCCAGGACATGGCCAGGCTCAATAT